CGCGTTCAGTTGTTAATGAGACAGTGTGTCCTCCCTCGGATTGAGTTCTGCATACAACCTGCCAAGCGTCATATGGTATATGACGTCAGCCATGTGGTATTGACGTCATTGCACAGCAGCAAAGCTAATTAATGCATCAGTGGAATTGACTATGACGTCATTATATGAAGGAGAAGCGTCGTAAATACATCAGTAGAATAGATGATAGTTCGTTGTGAATTAATTGTTATTATTTTAAATGCTGATTTGAATAAAAATGCTTTTTAATGTGATCCCAAGTATATGGTTGTTTATCGATTGGCAGAGGTGCCATTTAGCTTCCAATTAATCGAAATGGCTCAATCAATACTTAAAAAGAATTGTTAAAAAAGACTCCAGGAAAAAAATCATTTTCAAGTTTTACCCCGAGTCTTCAACAGGATTCTAGTGCTCACCGACTATTGCTTTATCCAATTTCAAACTATTAAATCAAGAATTGCCAGGAAATGAAATTATAGAGACAACTTTTGCTTGGTATTTTGGTAAAAATGGTTTGAAGTACGTGCAGGCATTAGTACAGGTGATCTAAGGATACGAGGGAAAGGTTTATGACAATGTAACCCCCTGAGGCTACTGATTTCAATAATGTTCATACTTTGTGCGGTAAATAGCCGATCAAATAAAATAATCTTTGGAAAAGTTACCAAAGTTATGGGCTTTATCTACATGTACCTTGATACATGTACTTTGAGTGTCTTTAAAGTTCAATTTAGTTTTTAGCACAAAAAGTTTGTTATATATCTGCAATTTGATATTTGGTGCTCAGAATAAGCTCAATACCACGGTTTACTTCCATGTTTTGGGGAGAAGAGGAGGGGAAAGGTTGAAAAGAATGCTATTGTGTTAGAGGTTCCATTTACATCTTTTACTCACCAAGTACATTTGTCAATTTTTAATGCCTCTGATCAGCTATACATTTTTTTTTAATTTTGATCTTAGACACAATTATTCTTTCCTCTCATTAACACTTTGTCACAGTAGGGAGACCGGGGCTAGTTGGACCCCGGGGTAAGTTACCCCCCCCCCCAATCAATTTATGACTATGGGTTAAAGAATTGATCACATCATTTTGTAAAGTGACCTTATCCAATAGTGCTAAGAAAGCGTCGGCAGTGAGTCCAAATGAAATAATTTAGCATCCTAAAGTAACGTTAATAAAGAGACTTGATGGGGGGGGGGGGGGGGCAGCTTACCCCGGGGTCCAACTAGCCCCGGTCTCCCCTAACAACACATTTGTGATGTCCATCCTTTGTAAGCCTTACAAAATACCGCACCCCGATGTATAATGTACTGATCATGTAATATCTGTATGTAATAAAGATATACGTCTGTAAAAGTATATGTATGCGTCGGTTGAACGTTTCCTATATAAAAGAAAAAAGAAAGAAAGTGGTGTAGATCTGAATAGGAAATTCGAAATTTATTATTTTGCATTCAAATGTTATTGTTTTAGTCAAGCAATAGGGTAAGTAAAGCAATCTCTCTCTCTCTCTCTTAAATTGTGCACGCAGCTCATTCAAGGCTTATTCCTCAATTTGTTTGCAATTTTTTATAACCTGGTCACATAATTAGCGTTTCAGTTCGTTTTCCCATATAACAGTAAAGCATCCATACGAATTATATTGATTAATAATACTACAACGACACGAAAATAAACATAGATAAACGAAAGCTACACCAAAGCTTTCTAACAGCACACAGTTAAAGGTACACCAATTCTTTATCTTCCAACTTGAATAAAACTTTTACCATTTAAATGTATTCTGCTTTGAACACATCCAGGGTGAATAACGACGTCAATGCTGTTGCGGATGGTGACGCAACTGTTACTATGAATAAATTAATAAGACCACCAACTTTGACAATATCGTTAAAACGACGCTATAGGCTCAGACAAATCGATGTAATACACAACCACAATTTCATAACATTTGAAAATATTATTACTATCGCTTGCTAAAATAAGTATGGCGTTATGTAATTTGGTGAGACCAGCTTTATCTTAAATTTTGTTTTTTTGTTATTTCTGTATTATAAAGAATGATGCAACGCATTATGAAATACAAATAGATTTTGGAAAACAAACTGGGTAGATGACTGATAACGCGGTCCCATTCATTGTTCCATTATCTTGAAAACGAGTGATAATAAAAGCCAAATAAAAACCGTTTAGTCATCATAAACATGTCTGGACTCCTCCCTTATTTTAGTCATTTCCCCATGTAATGGTATACCTTAATCCTTCTGAATGATTTATTATAATTACAAAACAAATAGGTAAACGAACTTGTGAAAATATCATAAAGGATTAAATAACCTTGGTATTCTTTTTTTTTTTCATTTCTTTATTTATGTGGAAATTGGTCTGGATATTATTTTGGAAAGAAATTTTTTTGCAGGGTCATACTGTTGCTATGGTGTTCGTACGACGCAGCTACATGTAAAACTATATCAATGAAGACGTAAAAATTACAAGATGTAATTTTTTATCTTCCAGTTGTTAAGAAAAAATGTATTATTTTAGCACGATAATTAACGCAAGAGACGCACTCACTATTGTTAATGCAACTATGCGCAATCATGAGAGCTATATAAAAAGTTTGGTGGTTTCATTATCATTATTTGATTTGATGGAAAACAATCTGAAAGCCTTGCATTACGTTTCAATAAAAAACATACTTGAATAAAAAGGAGAGCAATTCATACGTTCCATAATAGCAATATTCGTTCTCATACACATTTCTCCTGTTTGATTTCCCACGAGTTATAATCTCTCATAGACAAAGAACAAAAGATGAGCCAAATAGAAACGCTGGTGTTGACAAAATAACAAAACAATACGCAGTCCCTACGAGGTTCGATCCGCTCTTAAACAAGTCGAAAAACAGATCGTTTTCCCTGGCATGTTTTATTTGAAGCTCGGCTGCGATGTCTGACCCCTGTGACCGTAAGTATTTAAAGCGTTCATTCAGAAAATGAAATAATCGTCTTAATTTAAACATTGCATTAATTGTTAATGTCTCCCTCAGGCTAAACGGGCGGTAAAGTACACTGTAGCTATAGTTCTAAAACGGAATAAATGCACGCGTAGTAGTCAGCAGCATTATAAATGCCTACACCCTGAAAGTCAGAGGTCACTGGTAAGTCACGTCGACAAGGTGATAACTGCGGTTGATTTCTCGTGACTTCTGAAACCCAGGGTGACTGCAGGTGTCTAATGTTCACCACCAGACATAAACCGGAAATTAACTAATTATCGTTACCTGGCAACCAGGTTGCTTAAAAAAGTATTTAAAAATCTTCAAGCGACAGTCCAGTGTTTATGTGTTTGTGTTTTTGTTGAGGGGAATACAGTATACATGTATGTAATATTTACACTGGGGATACAGGATTCTGCTGAAGCAAAAGTGGACCCAAATTCTGAAGAAAAAATGCATCGACGAATACAAATCACTTAACGAAAAGGACAGTTTAACTATAATTTGTCGGGTGCAGCGATGAAACAGTAACTTGGTTCTGTTTTGCTCCGCTCGTTTTACCGTTCTGGGAAGGGAAAAGGGCGAGAAGCCTGCACCCCAGAACCTAAAAGAGGTGCACTGACCATAGTCCCCCTCCCCACCCCAATAAACCCCCTATATGCCACTATTCTGTCTTGTCGAGTTGAAATGACGTAGTTGTACTCATTAACGTGCATTGTAGATAGAAGTTGAAAGAGAATGTGGATGGCCCATGAATTACATATCTAATGTTAAGAAAAATATTCTAATCATGATATTGCTTTTTGCAACCATCCTTCTTAAATACATCTTGGACATAATAACGATATTATGTCCAAGAATACATTTACATAGCCTGTTTAGTCAGTTTACAAAATCAGCTAAAATGACTATTCTGCTTTTAAGGCACTGGCGTATTTTAGATCCACATTACCCATTTTTGAATGCCAAAAAAAAAAAAACAAACAATTTTTAATTTTTTCCTCATCATCCTTGTAATAAAAGGTACTGGTCTTTTAAAGCGTCCCATGTGACGTCACAGGAATGTGACATCAGCCAGCCCATCTGCTTCTCGCTTTTATATTAGGGTGGGGATGCGGCGGAGCTACAGTTGTCATGCATATTATTAAGATGTCAAATATTTCCCCCCCGGGATCCTTCTTATTTTACTAGACTGATAATTCAGACGCACGTACTGGCAACAGGACCCGGGGATAATCTCCGAAAATAATCCCGTATCTCGGCTAATCTCGAGCCTAGTCACGCGTTCAGGAGACAAAAAAGCGCGGATTAGTGGGGGTCACGGGGCCAGCACACGAGAGTGTTAACATGACTTCTGGGTTAAGCATAAGTAAGCGTTCCATTTAAAAGCCAATACACAAGCCCAAACAGTGTACACCGCAGTGAAAGGGTTGTGGACTTGCTCATCCAGCGTGAGTGCGGACTATGTATTTACGTGCGGTAAAACAAGCAATTAGTATTGTTGCGTTCACAATACCGCAACTTCCGCGGGAGGCTTGAGCTCTGTGGTCCGCTTAGCGTTTGTGGTGGGTAGTATCAACATTGATGCCGCATACAGCAGAGTCCGCTCACTCTGGTGAAAAGCCCTAGGGATAGAGCACGCGAAGAACATGGCACTAGTCTTTGGCGAACTCAAAGACTCCTCGTGACTTTAAGTAGGGAATAAATGCAAGATTTAGGACTGAAAGAGAAAACACTGGATTTGCCAAGACGCCGCTGCGTTCTCGGCGTTCCCTGCGACAGTGGCAAGAGCACGTTGAGTGCTTAGTACGCACGGTGGAACTCAGTTATACGGCGAGACCCCCTCAGCTAGGAGGCGGATGCAATCCACAGCCAAGCATTTTCCAGCATCATGGCTGAATTTGATGTAAATTGTCACTGGCTTTAAGGAACTACAAAAGAAGAATACACTTAACACACTACATAGTGTACATGGTTTTTAAGGATTCACGTTTTCGTACGCTGAGTGCCATTAGTACGGTACGTCTTAATTACGTAGGGGAGTTGCTGAAAGCGTTGCCTTGGAAGAAAGTCGGTGATTTATAAAGGCCTACATGTTAGATCCGTTTCAAATGGAAATTTTGAAAACGTTTTGAGTGATTCTCAAGTTGAATTCAGTACAATTTTAGTGACGACAGTTTGCTTAATTCTGTCAGATGGAATAACATTATAGAGAAGGCTTAAGTGCATTACAGTCTAGATCCCATAACGAAGTCTTGTGATACTCAGTCAGACGGAGAGAAAAATCTGGATTGAATCATCGAAAGGAAAAAAGGGAACAATGAACAGGCCTTGTTCGTCTCCTTGACGGTTGAAGGATTCGGAAAATAGGGAATTATACTGTTGGGTAGGAAGACGAGGTTAGCAAAACATCCCGTGAGTGTTTTTAATACAAATATCACAAAAGACAAGATATACTTGTTTTCCACGTTTCATGATATGAATGTGCGGCCCGGTTAACTTGAATACAGTATACGAGAAAGCGAGTAATACATGCTCGTAAGTGAACTATACTGTGTATAAATACCACCTGTAAAACATATCGTCTTCGCCAAGACTTGTCTTGGTTATTTGCATTTTCCTTTCATCAGGAACGCAAATATTGGGTTAAACGCCTCTTTGTTGGTTGTAATGTCATGACATTACCTCTCTGTGCAAATGAGACCAAAAAATTAACCATAATTATGCCACTTTCACATTCCACTTGAAAACATTGTCCAAAGCACTTGAATCCAAGGCAGGATAGAGCTGATTTATGCTATATAGAGAACTATAAACAAAACTGCCATAATTGCTAATAAAAGGAGGCCGTTGAATTTTTACATATTAAATAGGCGAGTATTGCAATATACCGAGGCAAAGCCATGTGACCCGTCTTATGGGGAGTCTACGCGAAGTTTCGCAGGACTAAATTGAGTTTGACTACGTGGACAAGGATATAGTACCGTGGACTGACCAGTGAGTAACCAGTGACTGACCGGTGTCCTGAGGGTCAGTGTCATACACGGAGTGGACAGAGGAAGGCGTCAAGACGGACAGCAACTTATGAAAGGAGAGGATCAAGTGATCAAGTGCAAACCGTGTTGCGAGATTCTATATAGAACACTAAGGGAAGCGAATACGGTTGAATTAAGTTACAGGAGCCAGTTTAAAAAGAAGGATCAGTGAAATACGTCCACCTATCAATGAAATGATCCAAATACTAAGATGGGTGTGGCGGGCTCATGATAAGGACTTTCAGATGATACAATTTTATAGACGGTAAAAAAGACCAATACCTAGGTCACGGACAATGGTCAGTAAAGAGAACAACAAGTTTTGTGTACAAATATGAAAATGGATCTCCTTGGTTATGACGACTGTTATTTACAAGGTAGGAGAAGTGTGTGTGTGAGCGCATACGTATTTGTGCGCGTGCGTGTGTGTGTATGTGTGTGTTTTCGCGCTCGGTCACACGTGTAGATGTAAGTGTGTTAAGAATTAATGGTTAGAATAATGTCCGACTCCCCCCCCCCCCTCCCCACGTTCCTCTAATCAGAACCCTTCTCACTTCAAACCATTTTCGCAATGTCTATCTCGGTGGATATAGCCGGCTGAAAATACATGTACATGTTTTTCCTTACAATAGTACATTTAGAAGTAGTTGACAACCTTTATCTCTTCTCTGTCTACAGATATCTTCAAAATTATATTGTTAATTTGTAGGGTATATTGTGGAGGTCGAGCTTACAGTGGTGATTTGAGACGCACCTGTGGAAAGAGACATCTACCCCATTTTTGACTTGACATTTTGATAACCAAAATATCAAAAAAAAATAGCAAAAAAAAAATCAATAAACGGCACTAGATTAGGTATCAATCGTCTTATTTTGAAACATGCCTCAGTAACAGGACCTCGTTATGCAATTAAGACGATTTAAAATTTTCCCTAAGGTAAGGTTACATCACCCCTATGTAATTTAGTTTGATTAATTGCGGGAAGGAATGCAGAGGAGACGCCTGCGTTCCTAATCCATTACCTCAAGTCACCATTAATCAATGTAGATTAAATCCTCATTATTTATTCTACTTGCAATGGCTGTTTCAGTGGGCGGGGGGAAGGGGAGGGGGGCACAGCAGACAACATCCCTTGGGGTTACTCCTCCCCCCTTCCCTACCTAACATACAATATAAAAAGCCAAATGATATAAAACGTAGCCATATCATTCTTGTACCATACGTATAATGTATATAAAGTATTATAATGGATTGCCCTCGTCTCGGCAAATTGATTTAACCTTGTGCCCCCACCCCTGGATTTGTGCTTGACAATGTTGGAGGTATAAAAATCGCACATATATGTGGTTTATGATGTTATCAATGATATTATAACACATGTAAACGAAAGGAATTCATAGCCAGAAACACGTTGGAAACGATTCATTACGTACTGATAAGTAGAAAGACAGTGAAAACACGTACGTGCTTTTTACTTCATAAAATGCCCCCTCGTGTATGGAAAAAAACTATTTGAGTCTACAGGGTATAAAAAATAAACCCGGTTATCTTTCTGGGTGTGAAGGACATGTTTCTCCATTATTTGAATAGACTTAAAAACTGAAAGAGAGAGAGAGAGAGAGAGAGATCAATACAATTTTAATTGTATTGTATAATATTAAAATATTTGAATTTACTCTTAAGTTAACACACGTAGTATTATGCTTAAAATCAATGTTATAGGAAGATGATGAGGTCATATATATACTTTGATAATTTCGTCATCTCGGTCATGTATGAAATGCAGCAATTTTTTAATTCTGTTGTGTCGCTCGGTGAAAACAAAATGCCTGCTCTAGTATCTCTCCATCTCTCAAATTTATTAACCCGATCAAATATTTCTTCCGCGGAGAATGATAGATTTAGGCCAGCTACAATACTCCGAGTGTCAGTGTTTTATGCTCTTTAAAAGTTTGAAGTCTTAGGTGAAAAAGTACAGGGGCGTTGAAGTCTCTTGAGAAGGTATCAATAAGAAATTATGTAGCAGCATGCGCAAATTTTGCCCTAATCCTCAGCTTACCAGCTCCAAGAGAACGCTTGACCACAAAGTGACCAGTCATGCGTGCACGACAGGAAGATGTAGCTGTAATACTGTCCCCGTTAGGGGGGCAGCGGCCGGGAGTTGTATTACCTATGTTACGTCACATGTGACGTAATAATACAATACGGCCGGTAGTCCGTATCCTTTGTATTGTAGATTACGCAGTAATCCGACAATCGCCCCTATGGTCAGGCGCGTTAGCCAGTGGCTAGTTTTATTGTGTTATAATTGGTACTGAGGGGTGATATTACTGTGTCACAGTCAAAGCTGTTGTTGTTGTCAATATGCTTGGCCATGTTATATCAATGGTGCTGGTATCGGTGCGTATTGTTGCTATAATTGATATTGTGCTAGCATTCAGCTTACCTTTATTATTGCATTGTTATTGTTTACCAGAACGTTGTTATTGCTTTTGTAGAATGCTTGGCCTAAACCGCGAGCATATATGTCCATAATGATTTTTGGAAAATAATTGTTATATCTTTTAAGTAAATCAATTAAAACATCAATTAAAAGATATAACTTGATAAATTTTATTTTGATCTTATTTTATTTTGATGGAGAGAGAGAGAGAGAGATAAACGGTGGATGGATGATATATTACTCATACATAACGATGTTATTTAAGGCAATTTAGTTACATTAATTAAAAGGTAACCATCATTACAGAGAGAGAGAGAGAGAGAGAGAGAGAGAGAGAGAGAGAGAGAGAGAGAGAAATTCCCTTCTTGTTTTCAAAGACACGCGTCCCATTCATTGCAGGCGTGTCTCGCCTCCTGCCCAAAGTGCAACAGTTTGTACTGGAATGCCTGGACCAGGAGACCCTGTCATTTGAAGCCACCATGATGCGGTTACAGCTGATAGATCATCTGGAGAACATAGAGTTCTACCAGGGCTGCCCAAAGGTGAGTCCTGACGTCACAACTTACGTCACACCTCACAGCATCCATTACGTCACACCTTATGCCCCACACAATGTCATGTTTTACGTCACACCAACCACAATCGCCCTTCTAACACCTTGGTAACACGCCAATTCTTTCACATCTACTCATTACAAATGATGACATCATGGAAGGTGTTTTACACTGAACCATTGTATCTTGATTAATGGAAAAGCGTTCGAAGTGGATATCCTGTATTTCACGCTCTCGGGGTGGCTTCTCTGTCACTTGAGTATTCACTTTTTAGATAGGCAAAGCTATTCTGATATATCTTATGCTGCACCCCCCTCACCCCCTCCCCCCCCCCCCCCATGTTCGAGTTCTCACATCTTAAATCAAATGCGAATGAAATGCAGGGTTTTGATTAAGAATGAAATCGGCCCATCTATATCCCTCTACCTGTCAAGAACGTGTAAAAAGTTTATATTGTCCTACAGGAACGGAATGCGGTAATCATATTATAAACAAAACTCAACACGTTTTAGTCTATCAAAAGAGACCTGTTGATCTTAAAGGTCCACACGCGCACCTGAACGTGATGCGAAGGGGTTTAGTGGAATCACGTTACACTGTACACACGGAATCTGCCGTGTTCAGGTATCGGAAAGGGAGAACCCCCCCCCCCCTCCTCCCCCTGCACATCTGATCGAGAGTATGTGGTTTTTATGTCAGGACCTAAGAAAGATTTTCTGAAGAAAAAGTGGAATGCTTAAGGCTTGAATAGGGAGTCACAAGAATCTGTCTTTTAAAAGCATAGAGAATAGGAAAGTTAGAGGGGAGCAAAGCCCTTTAGCAATTGATCTGATTTTTCCGTAATGAACCCACTTTAATTATCATACCGTGAATTTCAAACAAGGCAAATTCCTTCAACTTTTTTTTAATCCATATTCGACCAAGCTCTTTTTTCCCTTTCTGTTAATGGATTCGAAGTTATATTTTGTTTACGCTCGTTGTGTAGGACAATATTTTTACCGCTCTCGTTTCTTTTCACGGTTCTCTAAGAATAATGTTTTCCTTCCTCTTTTCCAATATCTGTCCCACATTTATTTTTCTTCATCGCTATTTCTTTGGTCCTTTTTATCTACTTTGATTTTTTTTCTCCCTCTTCTCGTTTTCCTCTATTTGCTTTGCGTCTCCATTAAAATTTCAACAACCTTTTTTCTTCAACGTTCGTTTTTCTCTTTTTCTTGCTTGAACCTTCCCCATTGAGTTTCTCTGTTTACGTTTATCCTAAGCATATCGCCCGAACAAAAGTTACATCCAAACTTCTCAAATCCGAATCTTCTATTTCAAATCTCATGGAAGATCAGTTATTAGTTACAGAACAATCAGAGTTGGTTACAGCACAACAGAAAAGCTGGGCCTCGGGCCGTTAGATTCAATTACAGCGGTACATGAAATTTCATAACCTCTAGGGGATCTCTCAGTTTACCTTTAAAATAAAGTAATTTTGTCCCTTTTCCTTTGCTGTTAGCTCCAGTTACATTTATATACATCCACGGCATTAAGTGAAGGATGTATATTTAAACCCCCTCCTCACTCGAGAGTAATGCGACCGCTCTGTTTGTTGAGCCCCCGTACAATAATAGCCCTAACCCAAACTTCGCTGTTTGCTTACACGGCAAAGAATGGAAAACCAGCTTAGCCCACGTTTGAATATGAGCTTTTAAGACGTTAGGCGGAAAGTGGACTAGTAGAACTTCAAATTAAGCAAGACGCGATACTGCTGACCATTACCGGTCAAGCCGCGTCCAGGGATGTAGATAACATTGGTCAGCTCGGGATAAGACGCTTTCAGGGGCGTTGATACGATTGACCAGCGGAGGTCAGAAGCTATAAGGCAGAGGGAGATAAGATTGAGAAAGGTCGGACATTATTGTTATGGCTAGGCAACTAGATATTTTCTCCAGAGACACGGGGGCTCAGTGGACCTGTGGCGTCCCCAAGAAGAAGGTACGTACTCGTAAAGTAAGCTGAAAATAGAGAACGTTAATTTCTGTACACTACATTTGGGTGGGCATTTTCTTATATCATGAAGCTCAACTTTCTTTCTTCGCGTTTCATTGATAGAGGAAGTATTCCAGTGAAAATGCTGATTTGGTCTTTAGTATGGTCGTTAAGAAATATACACGTTAGTTACATGGTAGAAATATGCATGCTTCGTAGTTTATAAGCACTTTCTTTTGCTACAGACATGTCCCAATATGTGAGGCCGGAGATAGTTCGCTTACCTCTTTAACAAAATAGGCAAATCCCTAATTTGACAGAAATATGTGTACGTTTGTACAGATGATGTACCAACAGTGAGGTTCAAAATGCCTCAGAAGGGCCCAGAGATGAAGATTCTGTTTTGTAAAGAAAGAAAGATAATAATTGGAGATGATGCTGTCCTCAAGAAAGCTACAGAAAATGTCAGGTCTCTTCTCGTTTTATTATCCAGGGTTGTCCACCCTAGATTTCATGATCACATGCTGTAGAATGCCAAGAATTATTTTGACTACCCAATTTTGAGTAGAACGTTTGTCAATGAGATGATCTGACCGCACCTGGTGTAGACACAATCTCTAATTATTGATACTGAGACAGCAATAGGAAATACTATGTATGTCTGAATGTAGTGTTGACGTTTACCAATGTCATTACATTTTGTCTTTTAACCGGGATGACACAGACAGGGGTAACCGGTGTCTTTATATACAGTATATTGACATAGACAGGGGTGTCGTCTTATCTTGACCCGTGTCACTGTAGTGTAAACCACTCTACACCGTGATGACATATTTGTCAACTTTTTCTCCAAGTTGCAAACTGATGCCTTCGCGAATTGATGTGACGTCCAGACATTTGACGTCACGTCGATGCCGATTGCTCTCGTTACGTCACAATAAAGTTGAAAAGACGTCATGTGTTTGCTGGGTGCACTTGATAACATATTGATTTCTCAACCATTATAATACCTGTAGAAACTAAACCTACACTCTGGCTATGGCAACTGAGCCTTACTTATTTCCACTATGTCGTGAACTCGATCCCAACAGGCAGCCGAAAAGAGTAATTGTAACAAGTCACGCCAAAGTCACCCTTGAAAACGGTACATGTAGAAACTAGTAAAGTAGTGTGTCAACGGGTCGTTGTGCTTCATGAAAAGTAAAAGTGTCTCAATAAATCCCTTGCAGCATTGTCACAAACAAATCAACCAGCATCGTTCTGACACCAGCTGATTTTCATTAGGCCTACCATTATAGGCTATAATGTAATGGGTTTTTGTAGATTTTAAAATATATATTTAACGTTTACGGTATACCTTTATACAAAATGATATATTGTGAAGCAAAAGGGTGGGCTTGCTTAATGATAATAATAATAATAATAATAATAAATATCAATAACGTTAATGAAAAATTCTATGGCACAATTTATGAAAATCTCAGTGCGCCCTATACACTTTAAGAAATATAAAAAGCAATGACATTGCATTATCTCAGTCGTTATGTACAGTTTTTAAGCAATATGTTAAACTTTTTTGAACAACATTTTACAAGGATGTGTAAATACGGGGAGGTCGTGACGTCAAGCTATCCAGGACAGTATAGAATAAAAGGGTTTGCTAGCAAGAACCTGGCTATAGAAAACTACCAACAATGACGGCAACGGTGACTTTGTTTAACGTTGAGAGGAAAAAAGCTAAATAGTGTCACTGTACCCAATAAACAGTCCTCTATTTCCGGTATTGTATTCCAAACACACCCAATATCCTGCCCCATAAAAGAAATGACAACATTGTCTCAATATACCCTCGAGTTTTACTTCACTTCCATTGTGAAATTTAACGATCTTTTTGGCAACACAAAAGGGATTTCTCGACGCATTCGGAGAGCCACTCTGGGTCTTGTTTGCTTTTTTACCTGATTTGTGCCCAGGTACTATTTGTCTTCTCGTTGCTTAATCCTGGTGTATAGAGCACGATTCGATCGATGACCCGAGGGCGCCGAGCAAATCCTGACAGAGTATTGGGTTCAATAAAATAATGCACCAGGGACACATTCAGATGGGTCTATGTGTGTTTGCATGAACTCAAATAGCTAAAAAGGAAAGCGGGGTCGTAGAAATGGGAGAATTACCTTGTTATTAAAACCTAAATGAGAAATTGAACACTAAGAGATGAAATTCTATATGCGTATCGCTTTTGTAACATAAAACTGCAAATAAGAGATATAGTTAAGTTCCAACTTTGGAATTCACGAAAAAAATCATGTCATTTCATTTCAACTCTTGTAGAGATTAATAAATGATACAGAATTGAAACCAGATATTCAAGACTCAGTGGAAGTTTCTTTTCGCTCAAGTTGTCATATGATATAATTATTGATTTAAATATATTAACACTAAATGATATTTTTTCTTCTCAGGCGTCTCGAGTGGCGGACAAGTCGGCCTACTTTGACGCCTCCAGCTCCTATCTCGTGGAGAACTTCGTCCTGCTACCGAAATCGGCAAAATCCGCCATGGCTCGGAGATGTTCCTTCAGCACGTCTCTTCAGAAGAACCTACTGGTCAGTGACCTAGATCGAGATAACCTGGATCAACTGGTCACCATAGCGGACCTGACCAGTCCTGACCACATGGGCTGGCTGACTGACCAGAGGACCGGATGTGACGTCTGGTGTGTCGTCGCCGACATGCTCATGTGCATCTTCGACTCCGACACCTCTGTGACGTCATCAAAAGTAATCGTGCTCCCTGGTTATGACGTCAGAGCTCTAGTTTTTAATGCACCCAAATCTGATTCTCCTGATAGTGGAGCCGTCACTGCAAAATATCAGTTTATGCTGAGTTCAGAACCGACTGACAAGCATTATACATTCAGCTGTGGAAATAAAACGGACTTCGAAAAGTGGATTTCATTACTGAAGATAGCGTCAGCTTTGAGCACGGACATCTGGGAATATGAACCGTCCTCGTCTGAAGCCAGTAACATGGACGGTTTCCTTCCCGCTGCTCCACCTCAGTTTCAAGACAATATCGATCACGTCAATGGATTCACTCCAACAGTACCGGTTCAGTTCCAGGACAATCATCATGGTGACGAATCCCTCCACCAATTAGAAAGCCCCACGTCACCAACATCTGACTGTTGGCAAGACAACAGTCTCCATGACCGTCTGGATGCAGAGTTGCCTAGGGAGCACATTGTCATAGCTCCTCTTGGGGCACTGAATACCCCGGATAGACACGTGCACACAGCAGTTGACCTCAATGCCGATGAATCCCCACGAGAAGAAAAACATAGCTTTGTGGATTTTAAGCCTTCTGTAAAGGTTTCGCGGTCTCAGAGCACAAGGGCATCTGTGTCCAGAAGCGACTCTATGTCAACGCCCGGGAGAAAAGGTCTGGGATCAAAACTTGCCAGGACGGCATCAAGCATAAAAGATTTAGTGTTTAAAAATAAATCCAGGACGGGCGTTTTCGACATCTCGATTAAGACTCACCTTCAGGATGTCCGTATTTCAGGCTACTTACAACAGCGCTATTTGCTCAAGTGGACAAAATTGTGGTGTGTGATTGGCAGGGGTCACTTGTATGGCTTTAAGAGCAAGACAGTTCTCGAGGACCCTGAAATTGCCATATGTGTTAGAGAATATAAAGTGACAGTTCTGGACAAGGAGAAAGCAAAGCATCCATTTGCATTTAAACTGTGCCGAGAGGGGGCCAAGAGCGTATTCCTCTCGGCAGCAGACGACTTTGAGTTGAGTCGATGGTTGCACGTGCTCAAAGAAGAAACGGGGCAACGTCCACCAGTACACGGGCGCCACTCCATGGAACACTTTACAAACAAAGCGTCATCTACCGGAAAATCTGTGAAATTTAATGACGGCGACACCATGCCTCAGAGACCTAAAAGAACGCCAAAGAATGCTAAGCTTGCAAGCAAATGCAAATCGTTAAGTTCGTTAACGTATACCGAAATGGAGAACAGCGAAGGGAACGCTTTGAATATACCCCTTTATCCCGCTAAAATAAACCGAAGTGTGGACAACTTGGCCCCTCAATCAGATATCTCTTCGAACTCAGGCGACGAAGCTGAAGATTCTATCGAAGATGAGAGTAGGGAGGAATTGTTCCCGAACGTAGCCGCAAAACACGACGAATCGGTAAAGTACGTTTGGGAAAAGGACCAATCATATCCTATGCCCTCGCAGGCAAAGCTTCCAGACTCGAAGATAGATGATATTGGTCTACAAGACACGCCTGACAAGAATGATGTTCTCGTGCTTCAGGATGACGTGGCATCAAATGCCGCCCCGAAGTCAGAAATAAAGGTAAGACGCAATTTAGAAGTTTAAATATATATGGGTAACTATGGGATGTGGCGACTAACATGTAAATATCGAGGCAGGCATTGGAGTCATACATAGGTATACATGTACAGTCGGTTCTTTACCCCTTGAGTCAAATATCTATAGCATTCCTGAAATTATGGGCCTTTCGTTTGATGTAATAACTATTGTATTACATATTTCAATACTTAAAAGTACACGCCATATCTAACCCAGTGTCCATGTAACGAAATCTTCTTTTCTTTTTCTTCCCAGCATAAGGCACTTCAACACAGCGCCTCTACCGGTGATGTGGTAGAATTTGTGACGTCACAGCAGAGTGAGACACGTGGTGTGCATCGAAGTGTGACGGTTCAGGATTTTAAGACTGCTCGAGGTAACGTTATAGAGGAAGGATTTGCAAGATTTGTACGGTGGAGATGAAAAAGTACTAGTTGTCCCCGTTTACCTCACACGTAATCTGTTTTAGGCATTATTTTAAGGCTATAGTGCCTGTGTTTTTATTTGACTAAGTTAAAGGGTGTTTTTTTTTCGCTTTTTATCTGTCGTATCCGTAAAATATTGATGTGGATTAAAGTCTCTCTTTGCGCTCTTCGCGTTTTCTGTGAAAAATGTGAATTTGTAAAAAAATAATTTCAATTTGCATATTGCAGCAACCCCACTGACAAATCAGGCGGCAAAACAACAGCTGCTCCAAGATATGTTGTCTCAAAAAGAAGAACTAGAGAAGCGGCACAAGGTAATGCATAATAATAATAATAATAATAATAATAATAATAATAATAATAATAATAATAATACACAGCGAATCTTGTTCTCAACATGTGTGTCGTGCTTTACATTAACCGCGTTTGTTCATTTTATGTGCTTTGCCGTAACGATTTGTCTTAACGCAAGGAGAAAGATATGACGTCATCTTTAAGATGATTTCATTACATAACATTGATCATTAATAAAGTAATAATGTAACAATTAACATTTTTCTTGCTCCTTTAAAAGTTTTTCTGATAACATATTTGCTAATGAAATGACGAATACAGCATTTCATTTGTGGAGACGAAGAACTGTTCTACATTATAAAAAACCCGCCATTTTGTCTTACACCCCCCCTCTTGAACACATTACTGATATTCTAGTAATATTGTGCAGGCGTCACAGCGCGCCTGTGCCTTCCCCCTCCTTTGTTTTAGAGACACATCCGCCCCCCCTCCAGCCCCAATAGTATATAACTAACGAAACAAAACAAAACACAGCGATTTCCCTTATTTCTGCCCTCCTTTACATCCGGTAGTAAAATTGCCCAAGCCAGCTGCTTTTTCACGCCCCCTCCCCATCAAAACCCGGGCTCTTCAAGTGTGCTGTATGTTGATTAACGAGTATAGTCTATTTGTATTTATTGTGGTTGCTGTGATAGTTTGGGGAGGATAGCACATTCTCTGCTCCATTTCTTAGGTCACTAATATTCTAATATTTCTAATGCAGCTATTGCGCTCCGATAACAACACTAATCCAACTCAGAATCGTAGAGCGCCATTAAAAGATGAGAAGCATTACTTAAGAGCGCCATCTGATCCATCGAGGCAACTGGCCTCAGAAAAATTAAAAGTGCTTCGAGATATAACGTATCTTAAACAGCGGAGGGTATCAACGCTGCTTCAGGTATGCTGGTCAAGGTGACAGTGACGTCATTGACACTAACGTCAGAATTCATGTGAACTGACGCATAATTGAAAATGCGAAGAAAATGCTATCTGTTCGTACATAAAACTGCATACATGATAACGTATATAATGCTTTAGCAAAGTAACCATTTACAGTAGAATTTAAAATAAATGTAGAATCCTTATCAATTTCAAATCCATAATGTCCGTATCCACAATTCAGCCTTCATTTGTTTATACAATCCGGCATTTTTAAAAATATTATTTTATGAATTTTATTGTACTTTCAGGTAGGAGATCTTGAAAAGGAACTCCAGCCCGCGCAGCCCAAGCCAAAATTCCCGCTGCGAATCCGGCCAAAGTCCAAGGCTCCCCCTCCCCCTGTCTTCAACCCCTCGGACCAGAAGCACTTACAGAGCCAGATCCAGGGACTTCGCAACAAGCTGCAGTCCATAGAGAAAGGAATCACTGTACAGAACGAGCGCAGAGAAAAGCTGGAGCGGGCCATGCTCACGGGGAGAGCGAGCGACGGCTTTGCCAAGCGTGACGTTGACTTCGCTGCTGACGTTTTCATCCCACCGCCACCACCGAGTTTTGCCGATGATGCTGATGATGACGTCAGCCAGAACTCAGTCCCCATTTTAACAACAGAGGAGCCCGATATTCCCAACCGCATGGTATCGAAAAAACTAATTACTGTACAGGAAACAGTATCATGTGAAGACAATTCAACTAACGAGGAATTGGTCAGCAGCGATAGAGACGAAAGAGAAGGGGCATTGCCGGTCACAGAAAGACTGAGCATGGATTCCGGGCACGGCGGGTCAGAGAACGAGTCTCCAAGCACGTCCCACCGGGAATTTGTCACCAGAGGGCAGCACAGGGAAGCTATGGCCGACCAGCAGCAGGGCACGGAAAGCATTCACCCGGACCTGATGCAAGAAATAGAGGTAAGTGTGTGTGTGTGTATGTGCGTGTGTGTGTATGTGTGAGTGTTCGTGCATCTGCTAGTGTGTGTGTGTGTATTGTTGGGTGAGCGGTGGATGTGTTCATTGCATGCGCGCTCATTTACGTGCGAGGTGCTTATAATGTTAGAAAAAATTTAATCAGAATTTTATTGACTTAAATGGCAGATATTTTGAGTGAATTAGCCGATGCATGCAATATGGAGCAGAAACACGTATTTTCATAGAGTGCACATCATCACTTAGATCTAGCAGTATCAGCTGAATGCATTGCACGTCCCAACGTTAAAAATCTGCCCTTTATATTTTGCTCTTTTAAAACAAGTGATATATAACTTTCACTTACAAGCTTTCATCTTTTTCAGGCATTTGAACAACTAACAAAGGAAGTGTTGGACAAAAAAGAACTTATGCGCGTGTCCAAGGAAGTGACGTTTTTGATACAGGAAGTGACGAAAGAAAAGAGCGGATCTAACAATTTGGACGATGATGACACGCCACTATGAAATTCGTAAAATCTTTCATAATAAATACTACGAAAGTGAAGCATAGTTATATAATCAGACCTACATTGTAATGTAAGAATCATAATATTTCACATTTAAAAACTATTTTTGAAAATAAACATAAATATCAAAAAACAATTAAATTGTTTGAGTTAAGCCATATAAAACACTATTTTAAATGACAACTTTACTTCAGTACGTGGATTTTTTTAGAACCTAACCAAAATCTTTTCGATCACGATAGCATACAATTTGCATTATTTTACGCTGTCAAGCAAAATGGAAACTTGACGCTACGGCATGAAGTTCATGAATATGTACCTTCCAGCCATCTGCCAAACTTGCAGTACTGTAAGCAAGAAGAGTTGCTTATAATTCCAGGCATCCCTGAAAAAAAAATTATGACGTCGTTCTAAAAATGCAAATGGTTTCCAAACATGATATTTGAACTCAGACAGTCTCGTGATCAAGGCCTTTTGGTGAAGGTTTGAAACATGCTGCCTTATAAGTAGATCTCTGCAAAACGATTTACTCTTTTGCCATCATTACCGAGATGACAGTGAAAAATCTATTTTACCAAAAATTGAAGTTGTATAAGATGTTTATGGCCAAAAACAGCTTAAAAATAATTCAGCATCGATGCGCATTTCACACAGACATTAAGCTCAATACTATCCACTACGTCTGCCAGTGAGAGATTAGAATCATTTGCAGCTCTGCTGTCAACAAAAATGGTGTTGAGACACTGCGCCCTAGCCCGTACTAGTACGCCAACTGGGGAGAAATTATATTACTTATCACATCCACAGTAGAAATTGGTCTCTAGATAATAATGTTTCTCCTGGGTCCTAATTGCAAGTAAACAGATGAATCATAACGAACAATACATCTCCTTTCAACAGGAAAAGCATTCATTAATCTCATCAGCTATCCTGCGAGTCACGCAAAAAACCTGATTCAATGAAAATACATATAATTTTTTATGGAAGACGAAAATAGTATTTTTTTTTCTATTTAACAGCTAGATAATCATACAGACATTTTTTTTCTTTATTGAATGGAATATGACAGAGAAATAGTCGGGTGGTACAACGTTAATTTCTGGAATGAAAAATTTAGTTGTAGCTCCTATTTCGTGGTAATAATAATTAATAATAATAATAATTTATTGAGCACTAAAGTATTTCAGTACATTTTGCAGGCCCTCTAAACTACTTGTGTTATACATACATGTAATATATATCTAGGCCTATTATCACACTTATGTGATATCAGGCCTACAAGCAAAAATGTAATTATATGTTTCATAATTACGTTATATACGTAATCTACAACGATGAAGAAAAAGTCGGATGAAACGTAAAAAGAAGTCAGTTTTAATTACAATTATTAATTTCAAGTTGGAAATACTAAGATGAAGCAAGTCAGTAGCGGTATAACAGGTGTAAAATTCTTCAGGTATACATCAACGTGCGTTGCTTTTGATGTCTTAGCCCGTAAGTCGACTAAAAAGGATTCTGGTTGATCTTAAAGCCGTCTTAATCCTAAACCTTACATGAACGAATAATATGCACTAGTTTGTCAAGCCATTATGTCCACATGGGGGAATAGTTGTTCAATTTGAAACCCGAGTTTAAAAGTTTACACGGAGCCAAACTCTGTTATTAGCTATTTTCTCCGTTAAGTCTTATACAGTAGTATTCGGGTTGGTTTCTGATAAACAGGGTGTTTTAGACCGTGACACTAGTGTCTATAGCGGTCAAACTGATGGAGACATTAGGATCGAGTTGGGATATAAAAATTCCATAATTTGACCGCTGGTGCTGAAATATCACTAAAAACAATTAAGCTAAAGCCTGCTGGACATTATGCGAGCAAGTAACGTTCTCATCTGGTTGACCTTTCTAAGTTGAAACTGGTGAATAGGCTTTTTTATGTACTGTTGAATGGTTCTTTCCACTATCATTTCAGAAATGACAACTTTGCGCACGTTTATTTATAGCGGTGAGTAACTATACATCCGGTGGCCAATTATTCCCGCCGGACTTTGAAGTATGTTTTCAAAAGTTCGACATCAATTTCATGCCCACCAAGTACCTATTAAATTCCAGATATCTGCTTTCTGCAAATCATGCTTCTCAGCTGGAATTGTTGGAGCGTTTGGAGCAGGGTGTCTTCCTGAGATATACATTTGGTCCTGGTTTTGTCATGGCACGCGATCTGCCCTGTACAGGTATGCACTGAGGCTCTTAGAGGCCATTTCCAGACCCTATCGCACTAACTTTGGATCGAACTATCTCCAAGGGGATTCTCGCGTAATTGCAATTAACTTAGATGTCTTCCACGCCTACCGAAGCTGATAGGGTGCGTTTAGCAGCTTTAGTAGGCGCCCCAGACATCTAAGCCACTTAGGCTGAAAGCAATTTAGCGAGAAACCCGAGATGGGACCGATCTTGTTAGATCGATCTAGGGATGGGAACCCAGTCTTACTCGTAAATACCGGTTGATACATGTACTAGAGGCAGTACTGCTCAGAAGAGCCCAAAACTCTTAAAATGAAAACTCTTAAAATGAAAGCAATTCCATTGCATGTCCCCCCCCCCCCCCACACACACACACATTCTCCGGCATCACCCGAGGTTTCCCTTGATTTGCTTAAACAGTCATATTCCATGCAAACTGTAGTACACGCACAATAATAATAATAATAATAATAATAATAATAATAATAATAATAATAATATAAAAGACGAAATAAAAAGAAAAGCGAGAAGTTCAAATCCATGCTGAATACTGAACGTTTTAGCCAGGGTATTGATATTACTATGGTTTATATCCATAGTATTATGCATTTATTTGTTTGAGCTATGTTACAGTTAGTTGTGCTGCCATTGATTGTACCTTGTCTTTATCAATAAAATATCTGAATCTGTATACGTGTTGGTGTTTGTTTCGTGCCTTTTTTTCAGGACAAAAGGAAACAACAGATATCCAATGAGCATACCTGGGTAAAGTAAGAGTACCCCATCGTGAAGGTTCTGCATGCAAGATTATCAGTAACATTTAATTTATGAAGATAATGAAAAAATTGATTGTGAGACTAGATTTAATGTTGAAACGGAGATCAGTCCACTTGAAGAAGACCTTGTGATAAGGTCGAAACGTAGTGATCTCCGTTTCAAAGTAAGATCCACTATTTCAATCAATTTTTTATTATCTTAGTATAAAATAACTGGATGAATCAAAACTTTCACTAAAATTCCATTAAGGACACATGAGATATATATCCAAGCAGGCCCGTAGCCAGCAATTTCAAAAGGGGGGTTCTTTTTCTGAAAAAGTGGACCTTTTCATATAAAAACTTCATGTACCTGGATCAAATTGTACCCAGNGGGCCTGCCAAGTCATAACTATCCGTGTCAACTAGAGTGCAAGCAACGTCCTTGTCCTCAGTCATGTCGCAGCGGTGGCCCGAAGTCACGTGGCCCTCACATTCATTATTACATTACTGAGGCAATAAAACCGTGTTTGGTTCATACATTATTTGTTTCATTTTATCGTCAAGCGCCGAAGAACACACTTACTTCTGATCAACAGTACATAAGGGATTCTAAAGAGGAAGAAACTTTATCTGATTTCGATAGTAAGTAAAAATGGCATTTATCTGTATGCATGGCACGCTAAATTAATGGCAAAAAATGATGGCTTGCTTTTTTAGGCACGAGGAGTGGCTTTTTTGGACTGCATTGTTATACGCCTATCATTATTTTTATCGGTCGTAGTTTTTGACTGATCCTATGTTGAAGTGGAACTTTGGCAAGCCTGTTCAAAGACCCACTAGAAAAACATTTTTTATCGTTCAGTAACCTTCCTCCCTATACTTGGGGACAGTATTTGAATACAGATGAGAGCAAATGTCCATTTATAGTGTATAATGTCTAATTGATGTCCCAATGGGGTGAAAGTTTTACAAACCTTTTGTAAGTTTTCTTTTATATTCACATAATCAGTAGTGGAAGAGAACAGTTTCGTAGGTCCCGTATTCAGGAAACATACAACTTGAATAATATGAAACAATATAAACTAACGCGAAAATGGTATAGCCTTTGACAACACAAATATCGTTCATTTCTTTTCATGGGAGTTGATTTTGAGCCTCAATATAACCTCCGCTATGAAACCTAGTACACACGTAATACAGTAACAGTGTGTTTTATCCTAAGTCCGCGATATAGTTTATCTGCGATAAGCAAATGCAACTTTTCTGTTTCTTTTATTTACCTATTCATTTGCTTCATGGAGTTAATGTGTACGCGTGCAATGCCCCAGATAGGCGCCCCGCTCTGTCCTATATGGCCGCGTTCAGAACGGCGGACTAACTAGACTTCAGATCAAATATGGCCGACCCACTTGAATGTTGATTGCGTAATCCTCGCGGGGAATCAAATCAGTGTCTATTAGGGGATAAGACAGAAGCTTTAAAGTGGATCGCCATACTTGATGCGCAGACTAGTTAGTCCGCTTTTCCGAATGCGGTAGGGTACAAAGTGTTCTATCATTCCTAGAACGACCACTTAGCCACATGAGTTTATAATGTGAAGTAAGGTCAAAACTTGTGAACTTATGTGACGTGTTTATTCTGACTATTGCATGTCTTGAAACTAATTTGATGTCAATAAAATAAATGAACAAAAATTTTTATACGGAATTCGGTCTCTATACAGTAGTCGCACGTAATCCGAGCATATGATTAATAAAGGCTAGAAATAGTCGGTGTGTTAAGTATAGGGGACGAATGTCACCTGTATAAAGTAATGGGGAGCAGACTACGGCTCCTAGCGGACTACCATTCCTGTCACATCGTAATAAGAAAGCAGCAAGATACTGAGATACATGTATAACTTAAAATCTTATAGGGGAATGGTGAGGTAGACTTCCTCTAGTACTTCTTGGAACGGCATATAGCAGTTCTTGGAAACACCACAAAAATAATTCTTAAGATATAGGCTCTAGCATATGTGTTCAAAGATACTCTGAACGCATTTTCAAAAAAAGGTCCAAATTTCCGCTATTAACGAGTTCGGCCGAAGTGAACGGAAGTGCCGCAAGCGCAAACAATCTACTCGTTCTACGATTACAATGAGCGTATTCAGAGCAGATGATCCGCCGACTAAATATAGCCGACCCACTTTAAAGCGATGGCTCTCATTTCCCGATGGTTTCCCCGCCTCCACACCCGCCATTGAACGGATTTCTTCTCGACTCTGAGGTTTAATTGGTAGGCGCCTGCAGGGACGGAGCGTGTGGAGGAGGAGGGGTGTGGGGGTGACCATCAGGGATTTAGCAAAATTGCCTTTTTAAAAGTTAAACTTAAAAGTAAGTTGGACATATTTAGTCCGCGGAACAACTTGGTCTGAATACGCTCTTGACAACATATAGATGTATAAGAAATAAATGCTTTCGTTTATTGTTTTTAAGACGCTGGATATCAAGTTAATCTACGCTTAATTAGGGCGTAGAGTCGGTGATTTACAAGGCAATTTTTTTTAAATATTACATTGTTATTCCTGTTGTTTCCATCATTTTTGCAATCGGTTCATATGATGATTCCTTTGGGAAATCTGAGGTAAAATGTCTAAATTTGCAAGCATGCAACAGTATAATTTGATAAGGTGCCACATCCCCCATACATCAAGTGTCAAAAAGGCATGTCGCGTATTAACTAATTAATAAAAAATGTTATTTAATTGACCATATGTTTCGGTCTCCACATCATACTGATGTTACGAGAATTGATCGACAATATTATGCAAGATGCGTATTTGAAGGCACTGTAAATGAAACGTCGCACAAATATAATCATACATTCTGTACAGATATGGAGTGTGTAAAAAGATTCATCTATTTAATATAAAGCACACGACTGGTTGACTTCCAAATTTGTGCTTTAAATCAACGTCGAAGTTTTAATAGATTTTTTACAGCGACAATGTGGATAAAACGACTCCGCCCTACGTACTTATATTGTCGCCTGTAACAGTAATACACATTTGTCTATAAAATTGCCTAAGAGATTGCATTGCTCAATCCCTCATCAAAGCTAATAGTTAAAGTGGCTTGGGCTGTTATCCATCAGAATCACTTCCTAGGATATCGTGTGGTTTACCTGTGTTCTTGTTTCAGAAAGACATGGTATTTAAATACACAGGCTAATCCGGGGGGGGGGGGGGGGGGTAGGAGGAGGAGGTAGCACAGTGGGAGGTGTCTCTCCTTTAGCTTCTGTGGTACCCCACCCCCACCCCCCCGGCAACATTAAACAGTAGAATGAGCCAAAATCCGGCCACTTTTCAACCCCTGTACCCTACATATTCTAGTAAAACTATCTGCGTGTGCTCTTTTGCCAAAAAAAATGTAAAACTTTTTATCCTTGTACCCCCCTCCCCCTAAAAAGGTACGAACGACAGGAAAAAGACAAAAAATGTGCCATAATTATCTTTCTATGTCACTGAAGACCATAAAGACGCACATATCGTTCCGAACAAATACAAACGTTATATGCATTAGTATAGTAGAAGAGCTGTCAAAACACCAAAACGGATATTCTGAAAGCGGTAACGTCGCAAATGTCACACATGCTGATTGTTTAATCTCCGCTGTGCGTTATGGTGCTTCCCAAAAGTCAAACAAATTGACATTGAGTTGCATCGTTAGAGGATAATGAGCACTTTTGTTTGGGGTAAAATAGGTAGTGCCAGTGAGTTATTTATGTATGTATTTGTTTGTTTTCAATTTATATATTTATCACTTATTTATATCTTTATTACTTATTTATTTATTTAACTTTCTGTTATCTTTATCTAAAGCGTGCTGGCGTATTGGGTCTCATTCTCAAAAATCGGTAATTTGCTCAACAGTTCATCTTGTGGATAAGGTTCACTTTGGTGATTAAAATAAAATCACTAACATTTCCAGGGTTTTTTCTAAATAAAGTTATAAACGTGTGGTGTACGCCTTTCATGTCGAAAGACTAATGAACCAATTACGTTGATATACTATGCCTGCCATGCACTATTCATAATTACCCCAGAGATCTAAATTTGGTGTCTCTTCCAATTAATTCAGGTGTGATATTGCGCCTCCAATTAACAACAGCGACCATACATCACTTTAATTCAAATTAAGATAATGCGCAATTAACTCGTGGGAAATTTACTGTCCTCAGGAAAATGGACCCACGTAAACACTCGAAGGCTCGGCTGTCAACTGAAACATATAACCAATTAAAACATGACAAATTTACCGCTGTGTCCCGCCATTTGTGCCCGAAATGTCACTTGGGATAGATATCATAGTATTAGCTCCGTAAAATCACTTACCAGTAAATGTCCCCGTGGTGGAGTCAATTGAGGATAAGCACCCCGGGAAGGTAGCACTACCACGCAGGTTATTGAATTTGTTATTTGCAGTCGAGATGCTTTTTGTGGTCTATTTCAAATTCCTCAGCAAAGCTCAATTAAGTATGGGTGATATCCTATGTGCAGGAAAAGGGTGGATTCGAAGGTTGGTTAGGAGAGTCCCAAAAGACCACCTATTGTCAATAGGCTCTGGCGTAAGTGGTTCGAACGTCAAAAATGGGGGACGCTAAATTGAAACGTTCAGCCAATTATTGCTCCAAGTAATAAGCGGAAATAGCATGGCGCCTTTCCGAACTAACGGGTCATTTTATTCTTTGCATGCATTGTTTGTATTATTCAGACCAAAAAATAAATAAATAAATAAATAAATAAAGATAAATAAAAAATAAAAATAAATAAATAATATATTATTCATATGTTTGATATTTTATTAATATTTTCAATATTTTATTTATCAATATTTTACTTAATCGATTCACATTTGTTTAGGTGCTTTATTGTGCCTTTAATATCCATTTTTATTATTTTTAGATAAACCAATTTGTAGCCTCTGAAAACGAAACCGAAACTATAATGGAGAATGCAACTGTATTCCCAGATTTCAACAGCTCCGTCTTATTTGAAGGCTTTTTAACGGACAACTCATCGGTCGACAACAACTCCACGATTTGTCCAGATAACGTATGGGACCCAACCCGCGCAACGACCGTCTTTTGGACCAACTCCGTAATCGGTTTCGGTTTTATCATCTTCGGTATTTGTGGGAATGCTCTCTCTATCATCGTTCTCTCCCGCGAGCGACCTCTGACGACCACTTCTATCTTGCTCCAAGGTGTGGCAGTTTCAGACTCGCTCTATCTTCTCTCCAATCTCTTTTACGTCGTCTTCATCGGGATCAACAAGTACACGGGGCAGATGCGATGGTATCTGAGGGCGCTTCATCCCCTTCTCATGCCGTACGTTAAACCGCTGATGTATATCTCCCAGCAGGCGAGCGTTTGGTTAATAGTACTAGTCACCTTGGACAGACATTACGTGATCACCAACCCCATCCAAGCCGCCACTAATCCACGAACAAAAAGAACACAGTTAAAAGTGGTCGCCGTGTTCTTTTTGACCATTGCTTACAATATTCCTCATTTCTTTGAGCTTGATTTGGTACCTTGCAAGTACCCGGATGGTGAGAATGGACACATAATGATGAACAGCGAGCTGGGGAATTCTATGGTGTATTTTCTCGTATATGGCATTGGTTTTTATTTCATTACAATGTATATCGTCCCAATGTTGATACTGGCAATCGTTAACATGAAGCTGATCTGGACTCTCCGCCGAGCCGCCAAGCAGAGAGTGAATCTCGCCGAGGTAAAAGGGAAATCTGGCCGCGACGATGTTACATTTGTACTGGTTGTTGTGGTCTTCGTGTTTGTGGCTTGTCAGACACCCGATTTTCTGCTCCAAATTTATTATTTCGAATTAGTCATCGTAGGGAGCTTTAAAATGACCAGATTCGGCGCAAACCTGTTTGGGCAAATTGTGACTCTGCTCTTGATAATCAACGCGTCAGTTAATTTCATCATATATTGCCTTTGGGGCAATCGGTTTCGTCAAGATATGTTAAAACTGTTTCGTTGTGGAAAGGGAAACGGCAAGAAAGGGAGTATTTCAAATAAAACTGCGTCCACAAAAATTAATCGACATAACAGCTCTGGAAAGGAAGTTCAAGGGAGAGAAAAATGTAAGCGGCCACTTGCAAACGACAACACAAAACTTTAGGTTCGTCGTGAAAAAAAAATTGCGTCAAGTAAAATAAGAATCGCCACTAAATCACTTTATTTTGTAAAACTAATTGTATTTCAAATATTTTGAAATTGGAATCGTCGGTACATATCCTAATTGTGTTGATGTAATTGTTTTCCAATATTTCAAAAGGCACCAAATTATTTGAACGACGAAGTGCGTAAATCAAAAGTGCTAAATGTCACGTAAGCCTATGCTTGTCTTGTTAGGCACTGTAAGGATAAACTGAGAAAAAACAATTGGAACCGTCAGTAAATTACCTTCGACGTTGTAAATGGCTTCGTTACCAATTAATTTATTGAAAAACTGTAGATATTACCAGTCGTGATTTTATGTACAACACAAGTAGTAAAGCGCACATCCCCATGCATTTGCAAATGAATATCTGAAATCATTCACACGCCCACGCACACATACACGCACGCGCACACACACACACACACACACACATATACACGCACATACACGCGCACATACACCACACCTTGGTAAATCAACACCTCACCTTGGTAAATCAACAAATATACTTGGGCCTTATGGTCTTAATATGTTTAAGCCTAATGTTTGTACATAACGAACAATGATTATATCGTTTTAGCGCAATAAATGTTCATCAAAAGTATACTTTGTGGGTGTAATGGACAATTATCACGAATTCATTATTTATCATTATAATCATTTTTATTTGCCAGAGGAATGTTCGACTTAGAACTTAACGCAGTAAATGCAATACTTTGTACGTCGCTTTGAAGTTTTCTGGAACTGGGTTTACAATTATAAAAGGCATGGACATTAGTCTAAGCTTTTCGACCAATGTTACATCTACACCAATTCGAGATGAAAGGCAGTCTAAAGTAATAATTATTGGTCAAAAACATTGAATATGTTCTTATAACAACACAGACACAATATTCTATTTAATTTGGCTACACTTTTTGCTGGGCCAAATTAGACAAAGTAGACTTAAATGCAATTCTATATATTTAGACTATTTTAATGGCTAAAGTTTTTTCGTTGTGTCCCGGGTGACGGGCAAGAATTTGGAAGTAGCATAAATAATATTATATGAAAGGCTGATTAGCTCGAAAACGTTTTTTTTCCTTTGGCTTCAGATTTCTAACCAAAAAAACTTCCGATCATTAATATAACGGGAAAGCTGGTGTCAGAGAAGATTTTATAACATAGAAATGATTGTTGATGTGGGACTCTTTGTCGTCCGTTAAGCGACATGTGGTCACTTTTCGTAGGGATGCACACCGCGCCCCTTGGAATAAAGATGTATTGACTGTGTGAGACTTGCATGTTGCACTCACAAAACGCATTTGGGCCCTTTGCTACTTAGTTCTCATGGGAGCAATACAGCTACTGAATCATGACATAATTGGTTTTGTTCGTCCCAACAAAGTGTCCTCAAAGTAAAAAGATCGCCCTTTTATCTGCGTTATTCTCGGTTGTTTGCTCGGTCCCATATAACATTCATTTTTTTCATTAATAATGCAGTGTATTGTCTTTTTTGTCCTAAAACGTTTAGCGCCAGTCGATCGTTAGGATCATTAACAGAGGCGATTTTTACCTCCTCCCCCATAAAGTGATGATTCATACCGTATCAATTGGTTTGCCTGTTAGGGTGCCAGTGTTATAACAACGATCCAAATGAGGAAAAATTGTCCTTCCAACATTTCATAAATCAGGGAACAACATGCATACCCTCGTCCGGCACCTCTCCCTTCTTCTGCCCCACGCACGCACGAACGCACGCATACACACACAGAGAAACATATACACACATAAAACTTTTTTTAGTTTGTTTCTTTTGAAACAATATGATTTACTTTTACAATCATGATAAAAATGATGAAAATGTATTCCACCATAAGAATAGAATTATCATCCCAAACTCTGAACATCACTCAGTGAGTAAGGTGCAATAAAAATTGTTACACAAAACGAAGATATACTTGTGGTGGATTACGTTCTCATCCTCTGTTGTAATGTTAATCGTGTTAAGAGAATCTATATGCCTTTACTTATGAAGCACGACGTTTCCACCCACCATCAAAAGACTCAGGAGTCGTGTTAACAAAGCCCTTGGTTTCTTCCATGAAGCGTCCAAAATTCATACCTCACCGGAAGCTAGAAAACACGTCAAGTATCTATACCATAAAAGTGATATTTTTGTCACCAATAACATAAATGGTCTCCGAATCCCGAAGATGTCCAGCTGCTGATGCCCCACATCTCCACCCACTTGGGTCAGTAAAGCCCCCTTTACACTGGACGGCGTCCCTTCTGCGTCCAGCAGTTCGGCCCCATTTGAGAGTTAAAGAATTATAATACTTTACGTGCCGACAACTGGCCGATCATTGAGCATTCATTCTGATACAAAATCAATGCTCGTGCCTCCTTATTAAGACCACAGCGATGCCAAATTTCATGGTCGCAGAAAGGACGCCGTCCAGTGTAAAGGGGGTATAAAGGGGCACAGGCTTTGTGAGACGTTTGCAAATTGAAAATAGTTCAAATATAACTTCTTTTGCACCAAGTTGGAGGTAAACCAGAGCAAAAGGTGTTACTTACGGGTTTAACGTTCATCATTATTTTAACTAAATAAATAGGACACCGTATTAATATTTTTATTCCTCTTTTTTTTTTTTTTTTTTTTGAAAAATCTATTACTGGTCAAACAAACCATTTCATGGTACGTGCACAATACCTGTTGTGGACTGTTACTCATCATGCGCTCAAAAATTGACAATAATTTTATTAGCGTACGTCGTCATGGCAACCTAATTGGGAAATCAATCATTTGATTTCTCTTTATCTGTCTCTCCTAATTATATTTGTCCATTTCTATTTCATTTCCACAATGAAAAAACGCACTGTAAGAGGCTACACAATGTTCTAGACAAAATTGTCTAGAACTGAGGTAGGTCAAACAAACTGTTTGTTCCAAAAGTTCAGACAGCTGTATCAGTTTTTGTGAGTTTCAGGCAAGAACTCTTTTGTGAAACCTCTTCCTCCTCTTTTTCCTCCTCCTCCTCAACAGCATGAGCACCTTGTCCTGTAAGGCTTTTCTAAGTCACGTGGTGTATAGATGGCGCTCAGTATAAACCCAAGAGAAGCCGCCTCGACAATATGAACATCGCAGTGGTGTCATATTCTCTGATACTCACTGCCGCCATTTTCTGCCCTGTGCGTCAACCTTCTGCCGCTTTCCTCGTCCTCTTCTTCTCGTGAGGGGGGAGCTGGGGGCGCCTGGTCGCCTGACTCTGACCCCATGGACATCAAGGAGGCAAAATACATGTAGCTGAGAAGCATCTACAAAGTTAACAGATGTAAACATAGATGAAAGAAAGTGGACAGAATGTGCTAGGTGAGACAGCGGTTGTGAACTGACGCAATTCGGACATTTAAAATTTGAAAGAATAAAATGCCACATGGAAGGGACTGCTTTCATTGAAATTACTTGTAATGATAATGTTTTATAATGAAAGTATAGAAGTTTACATTGCAATATTAATAGCATAATTCAAAGAAACTATCAAAATTATAGAGACTGATCGAACAAGAAGGGCCATTAAAGCATTGTTACTGTATACAGTGGTAAATCGTTAAAAACTTCCACTGTAAATAACGATACGTTAAGTATTTCTAGTGAACTCCTTATTAAAGAATTCATGAAAGAAAAGATTTAATACCACTTACTTGAACACAGAGAATAAGGCTGTTGTACCAATGTTTTGGTGTAATAGTACTGGCGCCTGAAAAGTAAAGAGATCCGACTTTGAAATTTTGATTTTTAAAATAATTTCCAAATTTGTCCTTAAAAAAATAATACTTAATCACAAATATATTCAAATACACACTGAAATCAAATAGAGGAGGATAATCATCATAAATAAGTAACATTAAACGGCAATACTTCCTGGGCAGTACGGCTTCAAAATAAAAAATCTCATAACAGCAAAATGAAAATTTTTATTCACAGTCAGAATTTAGATTTTTATCTATTCGGAACCGCCATGGAATCTTACCACAAAGTGTAGCCGTGGATATGGACAGCGTCATCATTTCAAAGTATAACAAAAATCCCATTTTGGGCTCATCATTCAGATTCAAACTCACAGACGCCCAGCCGTTGTTCTGCAAAATATCACAAAATTAAACAAGACATTTCGTGACATATAAATATTAGTTGATAATGTGTTTTATTTTAAGTTTCCATGTTCACAAGCAAATAAAAAATTACAAGGCAAACAGCTAATAAAGGGGACTGGAAGGGCGTTAAACTAAAACTAACGGGTACTTAACAACATCAAAGTTCTATTCAAGTGTGTGTGTGCGTGCGAAAAAAAGTTTTTTTTTTATTTTAGGTTCACAAAAAAAAAATATATATATATATATATTACAGCAAATTTTGATGAAATTTTGAGGAATTGTGGACGGTAGAACTATAGACGGTTTTGTGAAGGGCAGAAATTTAGAGGTCAGTTGCTTTATGGTAATTAAGATTTTTTGTTTGTCATTGAAAAAACTGTTCGAGAAGGAAGAAACACAGGAGCTTTATTTTTGTCGAGAAAGTCCACGTTCTGATACAACACAGCTGTATATTAGAGAAAGAACAAAACCCAGAAAACCAATTTTAATGAACAAAGCACTTGTTAAAGGGATAACAACTCTTCGTATGAGATCTCTGTAGAGATTATTACAAAAAAAAAACAACTAACTTTGAATGTTGGAACTGATTTTTTAACCATTGGTGAGTATGGAAAAATTGTAAGGAAAAATCGTTTATCCCAGGAAAACCCATTATTTTTTGCCAAAATGAATAGTTATTATCCCTTTAAGAAGTGCTTTACAGCAAGAGTTCATGCAACCTACGTCAATCCTGTACGTCATGCTATAGATGCCGCTGAAGAGTAACACGGTGGCCAAGTAGTTCTGCAGGAAGAACGTCTTGCTTACATTATGCCAGTATACTTGGCGGGACAGCTTGACTGAAATGGAACAGGGCAGACATTAAAAATGCCATTACAGTGTATGTGTATTCTGTAATCCATATTTGCACAGTATTTGCATTCTGTATGACACCTTACAGTTTACTTACACACATGGACAGAAAACACCTAAAATTCGTTCTTTGGTACTTTCACCCCGTCTCAGACTCTTAAGGGCGTATTAAAATAATTGTATAAGAAAATACCAAACAGACATGTTGTCAATTGCGCTTGATAAATCAAAGCTTAATTATGCAGCACACTAAATGAATATTCTAAAATTTGACGAACAGTTCCGAAGGTTAAGGGAAAAAGACAAAGACTTACACAATCTGTTTTCGTGCTATTGAGTTTGAGTTGAATCGATAAGTGTTGAACGATAGTTTCATAGGGCATGGGCCTAATTCTGAATTAACTTACTTGTAGACATGATCACTATGACCAAGTTCACCAAATGCAACGTGATCATGATGATGGCGCTCTGAAAAATATTAATTAAGTTTATTCCGTATTACTTGAAGTTGAAATATACTGCAAAAGTGTTCGTTTCAATATATTTATCACAACTGTAAAGAAAGTCGGAAAAACTATTTGCAAAAATGTACTATAGTTTTTATGAAACAGTTATCTACGTTAAACTTCGTGGCCGGAAATTTGTTTGAGTTACATTAAGATGCGAGTCGGGCAATTATAGAAAAACCCGTTCAATAATGTTTTTTTTTCGAAACAAGAAATAGAGAGATTGCTTGTTCGCGCGCGCGTCTGTCTACCAAGCGCAAACATCGTGTGTGTGTGTGTGTGCGCGCGCAAGTGTGTACAAACCACAACAATCGTCTCTATTCGTGATTGGTCAGACTTGGGGATGGCGTCCAGCACTGTGAGAGCCACTATGTTAAACAACTGGAAAATCAATAAAAATTAACAATAATGAAAATATGTCAGTAACGAAAATACAAGTTCTTCCGATATATTTGTGATCGTTTACTTTGTATACCGCTTTTATTAATATAAACACCACATATTAAATTTAGGATCCAACAAAGGAAAAATGTATACAGCGTTTCCAATCCTACTTCAATTTCTACAAGAAGATCAGTCACGTACGTTACCTGTAAAATGAACGTGAAAACCAGCATGTACTTATACAGCGTTTTGGGCAGCTTACACTTGCACGGCCACCAAGCCGGACATATCTGAAACAAACAGAGAATCGTTTGAAAACATTTCAAATTTACCGATTATCTGAGGCTTTACTTCCCAAATGGCCCAATAGCATTATGGTGAGCATCTCAGAAAACACGTTGTTAAAGAGGGGTCTGAAAATTTACTGATGAATAAGATGATGAATTGCCCAGTACCAACAATTTTTGAGATGATCACCCAACAATTGTAACAAAATTTGGACCTTCTGTAGAAAATGCGACGCTAAATTATACAGCTTAATTTAAAATGGTACGGTCTCAAAACAGATATTGTCAAAATTGATAAAAAATTTCCAAATGTAAATCACATGTCCAATTCGAATATATTATTTTGCCATGTGAACTTAAACATCCACCTTCCGCCTCCGTCTCCTCCGTGGCTCCTCTTGCCTCATGTGACCGTCGGTGGGGGCCAAGAAGGCGCGCACATGCGCAGATGTCCTATCCAGGTTCTGCAGGAGTGTCTCCAACTGTCTGGTCGAGAGATCGGATTGTACCTGTAGCGGCATGTCCTTGATGCTAAAAGGGAAAAAAACGAAAACAAGAAAATAACTCATACTGTTTACAAATGTACAGGGGGTACATGCACGCACTTTCACTTTCCTTTTGCCAGTAAGTCTATGTCGATTACGAAAATATGACTGTTAAGCCCCATTCACATAGACACCCTCGGTCCACGTACATGGAGATCGGTCAACCTCTGCAGAGGCATGTCAGTCAATTAAGCTGATTGCACTCAGGGAGAGTTAATGCAGAGTTGGATCTACGTAGAACGACGGTGTTTGTGGGATTGGGATCTAAGACTGCATTCCCACAGATTTTAGATCGATCTATCCCCGTGGGGAGTCTCACTAGATTGTTGTCAGAATAGGCGGCTCAAATGTCTGTCCCATCTACTGAAAACTGTAATAGGGGATAAATAACTTTCGTGCGCGCTCGGCTGACAGCAATTTAGCGTGAACCCCAAGGGAGTTAGGTCGATCCAGATGGATCGATCTAAATCTGTGGGAATGCAGTCTAAGAGCAACTAGATAAACCCAGTCTGGTATAGATTAAAATGACGTCATCTGGCGATAAATTTATTCACTACTGATTTAGTTGTCAGCACTGGGTGTCAACTGCGTGCAAACCTTTTTCAGTGTCGATATGACCTGGATCTTCAAGTATTGTCCCGAGGCAGGCGTCGTTAATATACAGAGGTACATGTAGGACTGGGTTCCCATACCTAGATCGATCTAACAGGATCGATCCATCTACAAGGGATTTCTCTCTAAATTACTCTCAGCTTAAGCAGCTTAAATGTCTGGCACGTCTACTGAAGCTGCTAAACGATAATTAATTACCCCCTCATCTAAGCGGCCTAAGTTGATTGCAATTCAGCAAGAATCCCCTTGGACATAGATGGATCTGCAGTTAGTACGATTGGGTTTGGGAATGGTGCCTAGGCCTACCTGTAGCTCTGTGTATCTTTTCCAACGCTCAGAATGACTTCTACAACCGACAGCGATACGATACCCTAGGCAGCAGAACAGATATATGACAGTTCGGGCTATGATAAAATTCTGATAAAGATCTTGGCTGGGCTGTAAGTTTGGTTTCATCAATCCCACTGTCTTCTTCGGCGCTTTCGCCGCACCATAAATCAATGTACATGTATAATTATTAACTTCCGAACTTACCATGTAAACATCAATCCTATGAAAGATACGCGTACATGTCTCAAGCAGCATCAGGATACGTCTCAGCTTTTACTATACAGAAAGGTGACAAAAATAATCGCGTGCGTATGACTCATACTTCAAAACATCATTGTGCTCAAATCACGTTCTCTTGTTATACTGATGTATAAATTATATCTCTTGATGCGGGTAAAATTAGGTCGCAGCCGAGGTAGCAATAATACTGCAGTACTTCAAGGACTTGATATGCCTCTTCAGGTTTGGGTCATGGCCAAAACTCTCTCCCAATCTGCTCAGTAGTGCTAAATAACGTCGTGATAACATTCCTTGTCTATATGATATAGACCATATCTTCCCCCCGGTGGGTAATCTGTGACGTCAACAAGATGAGATGGGATCTGCTTCACGCAAGGAGTTCAGTCAAAACTCGGCCTTTTTTTCATTAAAGACTGCTGGAACAGGGCTCTATGGGTGAAATAGACTGCGGTTTGTGAGTTGGAGCTGCGGATTTGGGATTGCGGTTGCCGATTTTAGGTCCAACGACTGCATCCGCGATTTTTTAAATCAAATATTGGACTGTTTATTGTTAAAACATTGTCCACTGTGTTGTCATTTCACATCATCTCCTCTAATGCAGTTTCCCTCCCCCCTCTCTCTCTCCACCCCCTCCCCTCTCCCATCTCTCTCGAACGCTCTGCAGGTAATCACTTAGGTTTCAATTGAATTGCAATATTTATAACTTTGTACAGTAATATGTAATGTATTTGGTACGTATTATGCATAAGTATATTTCACTATCACAGTTTCAATCCCGGAGAGGTGTAAATTTAGTTTGATTGCTAGGACTTTGCAGGAATGGCGCGTGTGGTAGATAGGGAGACCATTATGCGGCATAGCTTTCAAGTGGGGTCGGCCATATTTGATCCGCGGACTAGTCCGAGGATCGTATGTTGTGTATGCACCCTAAGGTAGCTATTTAAAGGTTTATAGTTAAGTAAACTGTAAAGAACAATCATATGACAGATTTAATATCTTCCCTGGTATGGAGCCTATATTGTTATCATTTTACTTCCTAAAAAACGGGGAGCTAAAATCAAACATACATCTGCTTATAAAGGCCCTATGGCCACTTTATCAAACGTAATATAAGGCAGCCAAAATTTGCAAACAGATATTGAAGAGGCACCGGTCGGCTGTGACTAAGAACATTCTGTGGTATGGGGAATGATTTGCCTAGTTTTTGGCCTTACATGCTCACGGTACCCTTACCGCTGTTAGGCCGAAAACTGAGGCAAGTGTACCATATTACTTAATCCACGGAGGCAACTGGTAACTTCACTCTATGAGACACAAATTCTCATAAAAAATAACCCTTCTCTCACCCTTTGCCTTCTTTTCCATCCAGAGTGACATATTCGTCGGAAGGCTGTGGTTGTCCGAGTGGTGACATTCCCCTGTCTGTCCGACTCTCCATCTTGGAAACTTACTCTAAAACATCCACCGACCTGCCTTGAATGCAGGCGCCCTTTGACAGCCGCCTCGTTTGGGTGATATTTCTGTCTAGGTTTAACCGGCGCACACTGTGCATAAGGACTCAGCTATATCTTCATTTCTTCCGGTATTGAAGTTCAGCATCTCCCGTCGAGTTTTTATCACCCCTGAAGACAAAAGGAAAAGCACAAAACCTTCCTTTTTCGATTCAGCTAGCGCAACCAGGATCATAGCTGAGCACATACCACAAAGTGTGCGTGATCATAGCTGAGCACATATCTCAAAGTGTGCGCCGCGCTCTAGACATGTCCTTTAGACACTCAGGCGGAAACGACACCTACTTCATGGCCAACGCTTTGACAACAGTTCACAATAACTTATGGTGTCATTGGAAAGCACCCTGAGTTGTATGAAACCCTGTAAACACAAACCTCTATTGCCAACATCCTTCTACTGTTCCCAGCACCGGAAGAGGCATTACTGATGTAGTAGATTTTCGAGTGTGAAAATCGGGGTGCCGGAGGTGAGTCCAACAGAAAACACGAAGTGGGAAGGAATGTACGAAGGTTCTGTCAATAGAAGTATATATATTGAAAATCTACATTATAGTTGTAAAATTGTATTAGATCTTCAAAGATGCATCAATATATATACTTCTATTTTCCTTAAGATCTATACGGTGAATTAACATGAATCCTCAAAGGTACTGTCAACACACGCTGTTGGTCAATTTTTGTAGCACGATCTCATGTAGCGTTTTGTTCACAATTTCTGTGCTGGTGGGTTGATTACAAAAACATTATGATAACAGCCAATATAGAAGTCAGCCATGACGTGAGTCACTGCAGTGTGGCAAACTCACACGCGCTCAAACTGCTGGTGTGTGGTCACACTTATCAGTTCTCTTTCTATTGTTGTACACCAAACATATGACTTGTTTCTATTCTCATAAAACGTACATGTTTGCTCTTAACCGATGTTCGAAAATTGTGCATTGGTTTTGTAGTAGATTAGACATCCAGTCGTATTTCATAAGGTTTTTAAACCTCTTACTAAAATGAGAATTTATTACAGTTGGCTAGGGATGCGTCTCCAATGAAACTATCGTACTAGGAAGATCGATCCAACTCCAAGGGAACTCTCGCTGTATACAGTCAGATTAACTGAATGACATGCCTCCTCCAGCAGTGCCTCCTCTTTTGCGTTCGGTCGCTCTCAGAACGAATTGAAAAAGCTTCCAGAAAGTCACTTTGTTATTTCAGTTCAGTGCTTTTTTTTCGATTTGGGAATTTTTTTTCTTATTTATTTCTAAAGTCTAATAAAACATTTTGAAAAATAAAATGGGGGAGTATTTTACTGTCAAGATTTTTAAGAGACTGTGGTCCCCATGCCCAAGGACAGAATTGCCAGGTATATACACGTACTAGTATGTGGGTTAACGCGTTTCGCAATGTGATAATCCACCTACTTTTTCAGCGCACTGTTTATAATGCGATAAACGACAAATCTAACAATTGTATCACAAATTTAATCTTTGATTGCATCAATATTGGCGATTATTTGGTTTTCTGCCCAATTAAGTCTCTCATACTCCAGCCTATGCAGTTTGCAAAACAGGAACAAACGTATGATCGTTTTTGGTAACGAAGATGAGGGGCGCATTAATGGAAGTCACTTTTTCATTTCCACAAAACGCATTCGACATTCCATTCAGTTGGATTACGTAACCAATAATTATCTGTATGAATAATTTTTAAAATCGAGTGTTGAAGTGAAAACGTTCACGGCTTCAAATTTCTGCTGTTAAAAAAACCCAGGAACCATGATGAGTCGACCTAAGTTAACTATAAACGCGCCCACCGTTTCTCGGATTCGATCCAGCGTGCGTCACACTCGCTGTTAGCCAATGTCACTGTCACCCCCATTAATTAATCTGTCCCTCTCGTTAATAACGACCACCCGGAGGTCGTCCTTGTCCTCGGCCTCCTGGCGCTGAGGTCCATTTTGTCCTGTCTCCTGGTTCGCGTGATCGCCGGCCTCCGTGACGATGGACATTATGGAGGCAAAGTACATGTAGCTCAGCAGCATCTAGAATAGAGACACCGTATTGGCTAAAATTTAAATGATATAAATGGATCCTATGAAGTAATCTTGAAAGAAAAGTTCATTTGATTTCATAATCCACGGATCCCCCTTCAAATAATCCTGGATCCGCCCCTACCATTGCAATAGCCAGTGTGCATATACACCATATAAACCAGTGATTCAAACCTACCTGTACGCTGAGTATCAAAGAGTTGTACCAGTCTACTGGGGAAATATTACTAGCACCTGTAAATAGATAATCCATTCTTAATGTGATATGTAAAGATGATTTCCCCCTCCCCTTCCAAAAAAAAAAATTGTAAATTACTGGTAACGCAAATGCACTTTTTTATTTTGCTTTGTCAAGACTTAAATTTCCCAAAATTATAAAAAAATTTCCATATCTTCCAAATTATTTTTCATTATTAAAAATGTATGAAATCGAATGCAAATAATAATAATAATAATAATAATAATAATAATAATAATAATAATAATAATAATAATAATAATTAATGTACCACACAGAGTTGCTGTTGATATGGACAGCGTCATCATGTCGAAGTAAAGTAAAAACACCTGGTTTGTATGGTTCTCTAAATTGATGGAGTGCCATCCTTTGCTCTAGAAAAAATTAACAGACGTAGTCTATTCAAGAAATATTTCAGAGATAAGCAACTTAATACGCTGGCTATAACGCAAGAGAATCCCGTTAACAGACCTAAAACAGCCATTTTGGTAACGTACCGTTCGAAGTAAAAAGGGAGTAATACTAACCCATACATAATTTACCAAAAGAGAATTCTCTAAGTGTTATACTGATTGGGAACCAAAGCAAAGACAATTAAGCGAACTGACGACAATAAGACTGAGTTCTCATGCCTATATCGATCCATCAGGATCAGTCTAACTCGATAATTACTCCCTAACAAGTTTACTAGGCGTGATAGACATTTAAGCCGGTTACGTTGATAGCAATTTAGTGAGACTCCCAAGAGAGATAGATCGATCCAAAAACCTGTGGTAATGGTCCTTAACTTACGTGAATTCTGTGAGTCATGGTGTAAATTCCGCTGAAGAGAAGGACGGTCGCCATGTAATTTTGAAGAAAGAACCATTTGCTGATGTTGTGCCAGTACATCTGCCGAGACAGCTTCACTGGAAATATCATATTGTTGGTTAATTAAACTGAATTGCTATGAACTGCGTGTCGTGTTTGAGGTTAAGTAGAAATGCTTTGTTAATGATGGTATATTTATACTTTACCCTAGCTCCCCCTCTCTTCAAAAGAGAGCAATTCAATCTCAGACCTGACAGTAGAAAGGAGAGAGGGAGAGGCTCATTACATACTCTAAGATGCTTTTTGAAAATTTCCTCATATTTTAAGTACTTTCATAATATGTTGCAAATAAAAAAGATCCATTATTTAGAAGACCAACCTTGACAGAGGATTAATTTGTCTCAGTGAACGCGGTGCACTAAGATCAGAATATTTCTTCTTGAATGTTTTTACAAAATTAACAAATACGTTTATAAGCCAGTCAGTTCGTGTTTCTTCCATATTTTTACATACACTGTATGCCGGTACAATTCCAATACGAAACTCCCAATTATTACATACGCTGTATAACGGTACAATTCCAATACGAAACTCCCAATTATTACATACACTGTATAACGGTACAATTCCAATAAAAAACTAGAGGATCAGAGAGGCGATACCGCCTCCGAATATTGTACTACCAGCTGGGGTAAGCGCGATCGTATAGACCCCCCCACACACAAAAAAAAAGGACACCACCACCAGTCTTGTGCTTGACAAGCTGTAAAAAATGCANAAAATCAATGGGAAAATGGGTGTTTTTCACTAAATCGTTATTTTTTATGATTTTTTTTTTGTGTGTGTGTGTGAAGAGACATCTAAGTACATTTAAAACTTTCATTATGTTTGACAGTTGAAGTGAGTATACTCAGCTATTTTCAGATTTGTCTAACTGATGAGAAGGTGTAAGCCATTAACTTAACAACAAAATTATTGAAGAGAATAATAAGGGAAATACTCATGCATATGAAAATAGTTTATTGCCGTTGTTATTTATTAATGAATATAACATGAACGTGACATCGTAAACACTGTGTTGTCAAGTAAAATGAAGCGTCTGATACAAAGTATCAAATGCGGCATTCATCTGCTTGCTTGCGGTGCGTTCAGTACACTTTGTTTACACTGACAAGTCAAGGTTAGAAGTGCACAATTTTTCTGTATAATATAACGCAGTTTCAATTTTGATTAGTGAATTTTCTTCAAGCTGTAGACCCTATGGCCATTTTCTGAACATTTGTACAAGCTATGAAATATTTCTCAGTCCAAATTTCTCTAAGTCCAAATGAGTGGCGTTACGACGCACTTCCGGTTTTCGTCGAAATCTAAACTACAGCAGCACATTCAGGGCGTTCTACCTCAAAATGTACGCAGCCGCTTTGATTGGAATTTACAACACTTATTCTTTACATGACATAGAACCTACGTGCATAATTTGTGAGCTTTAGCTGTCATACATTTTCTAGTGCCAATTCAAATTGGAAAAGGAGCTATTCCGACGATTACTTGAAGGGCAAGTCTATGAACGTGCTACAGTTGTCGTATGGAATCATAGTCGACAAACGTTGTCGAAAATCTGTATCGATCATACAGAGTTACAGACAAGTTGATAATGTGTGTTTATCTTATAGATAATTGTTTTATTTCCTTAAATTGATAAAACAGACTGAAGTGTCGTTAGAGACGATTGACGATGCGCTGAAATTGCGCAAATCGTCAAATTACGTAATGACCGATCTACCTTAATACGCTGGCTATAACGCAAGAGAATCCCGTTAACAGACCTAAAACAGCCATTTTGGTAACGTACCGTTCGAAGTAAAAAGGGAGTAATACTAACCCATACATAATTTACCAAAAGAGAATTTTCTAGGTTTTATACTGATTGAGAACCAAAGCAAAGACAATTAAGCGAACTGACGACAATAAGACTGGGTTCTCATGCCTATATAGATCCATCTGGATCAGTCTAACTCGATAATTACCCCCTAACAAGTTTACTAGGCGTGATAGACATTTAAGCCGGTTACGTTGATAGCAATTTAGTGAGACTCCCAAGGGAGATAGATCGATCCAAAAATCTGTGGTAATGGTCCTTAACTTACGTGAATTCTGTGAGTCATGGTGTAAATTCCGCTGAAGAGAAGGACGGTCGCCATGTAATTTTGAAGAAAGAACCATTTGCTGATGTTGTGCCAGTACATCTGCCGAGACAGCTTCACTGGAAATATCATATTGTTGGTTAATTAAACTGAATCGCTATGTACTGCGTGTCGTGTTTGAGGTTAAGTATATATGCTTTGTTGATGATGGTATATTTATACTTTACCCTCCCCCTCTCTTCAAAAGAGAGCAATTCAACCTCAGACCTGACAGTAGAAAGGAGAGAGGGAGAGGCTCATTACATACTCGAAGATGCTTTTTGAAAATTTCCTCATATTTTAAGTACTTTTATAATATGTTGCAAATAAAAAAGTTCCATTATTTAGAAGACCAACCTTGACATAGGGTTAATTTGTCTCAGTGAACGCGGTGCACTAAGATCAGAATATTTCTTCTTGGATGTTTTTACAAAATTAACAAAAACGTTTATAAGCCAGTCTGTTCGTGTTTCTTCCATATTTTTACATACACTGTATAACGGTACAATTCCAATACGAAACTCCCAATTATTACATACACTGTATAACGGTACAATTCCAATAAAAAAAAAAACTGATGATTAATTTTAGAACATGGCAACTCACCGGTAGAGAAGACCACGATGACCAAGTTCAGCAATTGTATTGTAATCATCACTATTGCACTCTGAAATAAAATAAGAACAGTATTAGGCCTGACAACAAATTGTGTTCACTGCAACAAACCCCGGTGTTTGTTTGGACATCAGTGTGTTAGTTGTGACAATACGATGTATAAGGGACCATTCACATATTTTCTAAAAATCTATTTTCTATTCGCGGTATCTTGTGATCACGGTCTGTGCCCTGAATACCCCGCGGCGTAATTACTGGCAGTGCGAGCCAGTTACTCCCTGCGCTGCCAGTAGTTACGCCACGGGGTTTTCAGGGCACAGACCGTGATCACAAGACACCGCGAATAGAAAATAGATTTTTAGAAAATAGACTTTCCATGTGAACGGTTCCTAAGTTATCACAATACAATTAAGGTGCCTGTTGTGAAAATTACATTGTGGTTGATTTGGTAAACATTGTTTTTTAACTGTGGCAATGCAATGTGCTAGTTGTGACATACAATGTGCTAGTTGTGAAATACAATGTACTAGTTGTGACAATACAATGTGCTAGTTGTGACATACAATGTGCTAGTTGTGACAATACAATGTGTAAGTTCTTACAATGCGCTAGATGTGGAGATACAATGTGGTAGTTGTGACAATACAATGTGCTAGTTGTGACGTACAATGTGCTAGTTGTGACAATACAATACGTAAGAATTTACAATGCATTAGATGTGGGAATACAATGTGCTAGTTCTGATTACACAAACCGCTAATTGTGGAAATACAGTGTGCTAGTTTGTTTAACATTCAACTTACCACGTCAATAATAACTTCAGGTTGAGCCTCGTCTTGGGTGCTATCAATATCCATAATCACAAGCGCCAAAACGTTTGCTACCTGCATAATCAAGCGTTTTCTGATTTCTTGAATGTTACTGAACTTTAAACAGCAATTGTCCTTACTTTGTCTTTGTCTTGTTTATTCAATCACTGCTAATTCAATGTCTTATCATTAAAACTTTTTACATTTGTAATGATAGCAGTTTTTTACTTGGACAAATTTTGTGACTGAGCAGAAAAATACATTCATAAAGCTGATAATCATTTAAACGGAACATGACATTATTATTATTATATTTATAATAATAATAATAATAATAATAATAATAATTATTATTATTATTACCTGTAATATAACCGTGTGAAGCAACATATACTTGTATATTGTCTGGGGTAGCTTGCACTTACACGGCCACCATGTCGGACATATCTAGAACGAAATTATGAGTAATTTACTATGAGTCACACAATGAAAAAAACAACACACAACAAAAAAAGTCTAAAAAAGTCTAAAGGTATTACACACCATAGAAGACTTCATAAATGGATTATTCCATATTTGTATTATATTAATTTATGAGCAATTTATCCAAAATAAATAAACCAGTACCACAGGTGACATACTTGGGTGGGCTATTATCGCCGATTAAAGTTAATTTTTTTATTGAAATATTAAAATATCAGTTAAATCAACCTTTATCCTCTCACAGTTGAGAGCCCGAACAAAGAGATGTGGGGCATTTTAGATTCTCTGTGAAACGCAAATTAAAAATGGACAAACCCTTAGTTTATTTTGCTCAGATCGAATTTCGATTAATGGAATCACATTCTGTAAAACAGGTGCAATTCAGTACTACGGGTACTGCGAATCAAACTTAATAGAATAATAACTGTTTGTTTTGTTTTGGCCAAAAAAAAAAACGATTTTCCTGGGATAAAAGGCTTTCCCTCGTGCTTACCAATGGTTAATGAATCCATTCCCAGTGGCGGATTATTTGAGGGGGGAGGGGGGGGGGGGGGGGGATACGAAGTCGACCGCCCCCCCCCCCCCCCCCCAAACACTTGGCGTGGGGTTTGGGCCCCCATGAACGGTGTCATTTGGTACGGTTTAGAGCTATGATTCAGCTAGTCAAAATTTTAAAGTCAAGAGGTGACCAGAAATCGAAAGGGGGGGGGGTTAGGACCACCCTGACCCCCCCTCTAAATCTGCTATTGATTCCGACATTCAAAGTTAGTCCATATTTTTTTCTAAAAAGTTTCTATTCTTAAGAGATTATTACAGAGGTGTAGCCATTTATGAAGGTCCACAAGGTAAAATGAAAAGGAAAGCCTCCAGAATAATCATAAGTACCGCTTTTTGGTGGTAAAAGAATTTACTTATTTCTACGAGTTGGTATCGACGTATTTATTATAAGATGTGGATCTCATACCAACAGTTATTCCTTTAACTGATAATATTAATACAACACTAGATCACCGTTACCTTTCTTCTTCTTCTTGGTCGTTCACTTATTGATAAAGTAACGCCTGTGTCTGTGATGCAACCTCGAAGCTGCGTAAGCGTGGAGTCCAAATTCTGCAGCAGAGCTTGTAGTTGCCTGTCGTCTGCTGCTCGACTCATCTGTCCCGACATTTTCAAGGTGGGAAAGCTATTTCTGTGTGGTCAGTTGCGTCAACAGTGGAGAGTAAGTTGTGCCGACAGTGGGGAGTACGTTGTGCCGACAGTGGAGAGTTGTGCCGACAATGGAGAGTACGTTGTGCCGACAGTGGGGAGTACGTTGTGCCGACAGTGGAGAGTTGTGCCGACAGTGGAGAGTACGTTGTGCCGACAGTGGAGAGTTGTGCCGACAGTGGAGAGTACGTTGTGCCGGCAGTGGCAGGGGCGGATTTAGGCCGTCTTCTGGGTCTTCCGGAAGACGGTCAGATTTTAAAGTTTACATTGACGGGTATCTAATATTTTGTGTCGGAAGACGGTCAAAAATGGAGGATGGATTAACAAAAATAATTTGGAAGACTGTCAGAAAATTTCTCTGGATCCGCCCCTGAGTGGGGAGTACGTTGCGTCGACAGTGGAGAGTTGTGCCGACAATGGAGAGTGATGTCAAAAATGGACAATTTTCCTGACAATGACGGACTCAAAAAATGGTCTCCTGATAGATAATCCCTCTTCCGCTGCGAAGTGTTAAAGAGAGCACAAAGCAGAGAAAGAATTCACATACACACCGTCTATCATTTAAATAGTTTCGTTTTTCATTGCTTACGTGCACAAATCATGACCAACAATTTATCCAGAAGAAAAACACAAGCAGAGGCGAGGGGATCGGATCTACATTATATCTCATATCCACGTTCGATGTTCCTTCATTTGTGGGTTTCATTGGCGTTTCCCTCTGTCCTCAGCAAAACATTCCACTGTAAATCCGCCTGCTGTACGTCCGTACGTGTAACTCGATACTCCGTTATATGTGAAATATCTAAAAGGTTTAGAGTTATTCAATATGTATAGTATAATTACCCAAGCTGTTATAAGCTGATGATTTAATCAGACGCAGTAACGCCAAGTCAACCACTTGAACTGTTATTCGTGTTACTGTGCACGATGTCAAATCTATATTTGTAGTCTCGAGTTAAGTCACGGAAGATAAGCAGATCACGCGTATATCTGTCATTGATATGGATATGATAAATGTATGTGGATTAAAAACTATCCTTTATCAGGGCCGGAACGACAGGCCTCTGATGCGAAGCCGACCATAGCCCCCTTTCTGTGGGGTTCGGGGCCTGCTCATGGACCCAGAAAATTTTTTGGTGTTTTGGAGAGCAAAGTGCCCTTTTGAACGGTTTAGAGCTATAATTTAGTAAGTCAAAATTCTGATTTCAAGGGGGGGGGAATATTGGTGCGATATATTTTTCAGAAACCGAGGAGGGGATCAGGACCCCCCTGACCCCACCTCAAAATCCGGTACTGCGTTGCCGTTACGTACGTTACCAAATTTCGTGTAGATTTTTGTTGTTGTTGTTGATGATTACCTTGTTACTGGTCCGTCGGCGTAACTATGTGATTGCGTGAGACGTCATACATGCGCAATTTTTGTTTTCAACTAGAGAGAATAAATAAGGATGATTATAAATAGAGAAGAATTCGGTTACCACATCGTACATGTACACCTCACGATGCCATCGCCTCCCAAAGTTATCTTGTATTATAAGGTTACAGTCTTGTAAATGATTGGTATTATTTTATTCAAATACGGAATAGCACGTAAAAACAAGGTGTGTTTTGTAAATGATTCAGACCGAGTCAATATACTGAGGTATCTTTAAATTATAACAGATGGAGCTGTATTTAAAAATTCTGCCAGCTGTGACTGCCTGCCTACTTAGGTACCATTCCCAGACCCTATCGTACTAACTGTGGACCGATCCATCTCCAAGGGAATTCTCACTAAACTGCAATCAACTTAAGTGGCTTAGATGTCTGGCACGTGAAGTGAAGCAGCTAAATGATTAATTACCCCCTAGCTGCTTCAGTAGGTATGACAAACATCTAAGCTGCTTAAGTTGATTGCAATTTAGTGAGAAACCCCTTGGAGATGGACTCATCCTGTTAGAGTGATCTAGGTATGGGAACCCAGTCTTAGGGACCATTCACATGAAAAATCTATTTTCTAAAAAACTATTTGCGGTATCTTGTGATTATGGTCTGTGCCCTGAATACCCCGCAGTGTAATTACTGGCAGCGCCGAGAATTAATTACAGCTTTGGAAGTAACTGGCTTGCGCTGCCCGTAATTACGCCGTGGGGTATTCAGGGCACAGACCATGATCACAAGATACCGCAAATAGATTTTTAGATTTTTAGAAATTAGATTTTTCATCTGAACGGTCCCTTAGGCTCCATCACTGCGTTAGATGGGGCGCTAAATCAGTCTGTACAACTATATGTCCAGGTTCTACAGCAGCTGTTTCTTCAAGGATTACAAAAGATGGAGCTCCCTCAGTCGCTGACTCAACTGCAACAGTGTCTCCCTCTGCAGGTGTGCTTNTTTGTGTTACTGTGCACGATGTCAAATCTATATTTGTAGTCTCGAGTTAAGTCACGGAAGATAAGCAGATCACGCGTATATCTGTCATTGATATGGATATGATAAATGTATGTGGATTAAAAACTATCCTTTATCAGGGCCGGAACGACAGGCCTCTGATGCGAAGCCGACCATAGCCCCCTTTCTGTGGGGTTCGGGGCCTGCTCATGGACCCAGAAAATTTTTTGGTGTTTTGGAGAGCAAAGTGCCCTTTTGAACGGTTTAGAGCTATAATTTAGTAAGTCAAAATTCTGATTTCAAGGGGGGGGGAATATTGGTGCGATATATTTTTCAGAAACCGAGGAGGGGATCAGGACCCCCCTGACCCCACCTCAAAATCCGGTACTGCGTTGCCGTTACGTACGTTACCAAATTTCGTGTAGATTTTTGTTGTTGTTGTTGATGATTACCTTGTTACTGGTCCGTCGGCGTAACTATGTGATTGCGTGAGACGTCATACATGCGCAATTTTTGTTTTCAACTAGAGAGAATAAATAAGGATGATTATAAATAGAGAAGAATTCGGTTACCACATCGTACATGTACACCTCACGATGCCATCGCCTCCCAAAGTTATCTTGTATTATAAGGTTACAGTCTTGTAAATGATTGGTATTATTTTATTCAAATACGGAATAGCACGTAAAAACAAGGTGTGTTTTGTAAATGATTCAGACCGAGTCAATATACTGAGGTATCTTTAAATTATAACAGATGGAGCTGTATTTAAAAATTCTGCCAGCTGTGACTGCCTGCCTACTTAGGTACCATTCCCAGACCCTATCGTACTAACTGTGGACCGATCCATCTCCAAGGGAATTCTCACTAAACTGCAATCAACTTAAGTGGCTTAGATGTCTGGCACGTGAAGTGAAGCAGCTAAATGATTAATTACCCCCTAGCTGCTTCAGTAGGTATGACAAACATCTAAGCTGCTTAAGTTGATTGCAATTTAGTGAGAAACCCCTTGGAGATGGACTCATCCTGTTAGAGTGATCTAGGTATGGGAACCCAGTCTTAGGGACCATTCACATGAAAAATCTATTTTCTAAAAAACTATTTGCGGTATCTTGTGATTATGGTCTGTGCCCTGAATACCCCGCAGTGTAATTACTGGCAGCGCCGAGAATTAATTACAGCTTTGGAAGTAACTGGCTTGCGCTGCCCGTAATTACGCCGTGGGGTATTCAGGGCACAGACCATGATCACAAGATACCGCAAATAGATTTTTAGATTTTTAGAAATTAGATTTTTCATCTGAACGGTCCCTTAGGCTCCATCACTGCGTTAGATGGGGCGCTAAATCAGTCTGTACAACTATATGTCCAGGTTCTACAGCAGCTGTTTCTTCAAGGATTACAAAAGATGGAGCTCCCTCAGTCGCTGACTCAACTGCAACAGTGTCTCCCTCTGCAGGTGTGCTTTCCACAGTGTACACCACCTCTGTGCTGCCATCTACAGTTGCGTCACCACAACCTGCTGAGTCAGCAACAGTGTACACCTCAGTGCTGCCACCTATGGTATTGTCATCATCAGTGTAAGCCTCAGTGGCGACATCTAGAGTTGTGACAGCCACACCGCCAGGGGGCTGCTCTCCTATGAAAGTAGCTTCCAGGATTTTATGCACAAGTTTCATGTGTCTTTTCATGGAGTTTCTGTGAATTGTGGTGAAGTGGCAGAGGGCGCAGCTGTACACAGTGTTGCCGTGGGCAGTCTTACTGTGTTGGTCCAGATTACTCTTGGTGGTGAAAGTTTTCAGACACAATTCACATTCGTAGTTTCTTGTCCCTGCAAAAAAAAGAGGACAAAAACTTTTGTACATCAAATATTTAATGAAAATGGTGAAATAACACTTATTTTATTACTTCAAACAATTATTGTTAAAAGAAAATGTTGAGTGAGCCCTTTTCAAGATAAGTTTACTAATTAATACAGCACATATCAGCTTTTTTACTCTGATTAAGTGATTCTTTTGGTAACAACCACAATATTATAATTTCAGTCTGTATAAGTGTATTGGAACAGACTATATTAGTATTCTGCTCAATGTAAAAATATCTTACTGCGACTAAAAGCTTTAAAAGAGTAACACAAGCCACATAAACGATAATTGCGAATGCTAGCATGAGCCTTAGATTTGCGAGGACCTATGCTGAAATGAACAATAGGAGCCAAGAATTTAGTGCCCCAACGTAAAATTAGTAGACAAGCACACGTCGTCAGAGCTATCTGTGTGTTATAAAGTTGTGCTCATGGCTATTTATTTTATGTCCAGGTACTTAATTCGTACCCTGAGTGTCAGGGCACTATAAAGTTAGCTTATTAACTATACCTTTCCATGTGTTAACGTTACAGTGCTGATCTGGGTTATATATGAAATCAAGATCAAGCTGGCAATATCAAAATCTAGAACCTAGGGTATTAATACGTGGCTCGTGTTGTTAATACGGGAATTCATGCTCAGAAATCTCAAGCTCAAGCTCGCAAATGCTCAATCCCTTTAGGAGGCCTGTTCCAGATGCATCCACTCACCGCTGTGGGTTTTCATATGAGTCCGGAGCTGCGCTGGATGGTGCCACGTTTTTGAGCAAATCTCACATTTTACTTTTCTCTCGGTAGCTAAAATAAGAGAGTTTAGTAATGAAATCTAGGGTTGGTGGTGGTAAAAAAAAAGTAAAGGTCGGGTTTATAGCCTAATATTTGAATTAATGACATCAGCTGGTTTTACAATGGACTCTAAGAATCTGTTTGCCCAGTTAATGATCTTACTTCCCTAAGGCAATTAAACTTTTTGAGATTATTTTTTCAAGAAACAAAGGGATTTTAACCATTTAACAGTCTTAGTGAGAAAAACTTACATCAATGAAAACATAAAACATTTTTATGCAGAGACATTTATCTTAATGGCAAAACGTACAGTGGGGTATTCATTCAATATTTTAATAAAATTTTAATTAAATTTACTCGTTTTAAAGTGTAAGCCCTTTTATCATGTGATCCACTGTTAAAGACAGCATGCTTTCTAACATCACTTCATTGTGACAGTGAATTCATTAACTGTAACTTACTTCCATGCCTGTATTTGATATGGTGTTGTAGAGCAGCCTTCACCTTGAAGCTTTTGTTACAGTCCGGGACAGAACACTGAAATGGACGAACATCTGAAAAAAAAGTGGCATATAATTTATCAATCAAGTATGAATTGACCAGATAGCTATGACAACCTACAAGAAGACCAAAGCAATCTACCGTCAGGGCCATCCTTTTTGCCAGGAAATTTGATATAGGCACATGAAGGTTCATGGTTAAAGGTCCACTTTTCTGAAAAAGGACGACCCTCTTTAAAATGGCTGGCTGGGCCTGTAGTATGTCAGCCAAACAAGGCTACCCTATAGTTCTGTTCTATGCAGTAAAAGCACCAAAAATGCTACACAAAAAATATAAATTTGCGATCATAAAATTATGCATCTCAAAGTCTGATAATTTTTGCCCATCGAAAAGATAGGATTCATTACCGTAAACCTGACCGTACCTGAATGCAGCTGTTGTACATGTTCCTTCCACCTGTGTCTGTTGCTGGCAACATAGCCGCACAAGTCACACACCAGGGGGAGCACCCTGTCAGCGCAATTATTACCATACGCCTGATGGTTTCGAAGAGCTTTCATGTGAGGGAAGACTCGACCGCAGCGTTCACAGATCTCACGGCACTTGTGCGACTTTATGCTCCTGGCTGTAAATAAAAAAATTAGTTTATGGCACAAACTAAAGTGAATCAATTTTTTTCTATGCCAGAAGAGTTATCATGATATCAGATAATTATGATATTTTGTAATTCCATTTGATAATGAAAACAATCATTCCCACTGTCTTGTATTTTCATAATTGCCAATAATTGTGTAAAAGTTATAAGAAGAAAATAAACTAAATACAAAATGTCATAAAATACCTTACTATTATATCATAAAAGCAAATTCATATAATATATACCCGTGTAAGTCTTCTGACAAATATTACAGGTCACCATCGAACTCGTTAACACATTCTCTTTTTCTCCCTCCTCTGCAGAAGAGTCCACCTCCTTGAAAACGGTACTTTCCATTTCTTTCTGGATGAGGAAGCGTTTGCCGTTTGGCAGTCTCAAAAAGAACTGATCCGTCCCTCCTGAGTCAGAGCTGGACTCTGTGTGATGTTCTCCTCCATCGCCAGGGTGAAGAACACTTAGTCCCTGGGTTTGGACACTGGGATCCTCAGGGTGTGAAGGGGGCGTGGCAGTTTCTTTCCCAGGATACAGTAAAACTGAGATCCCAGAATACTCTTCTTCAAATCTGTCCGGCGTTGTTGATGATTCAAAATCAGACACGTCCTGATTATCATTCTTGTTTTGATGAGCAGTTTTCTTTTTAACATCCCTGGTTAAATGATGTCCAAGTCCATCCCTCTGTGTCATGTTCCGCGATGTGTAATGTTTGTCTTTCTGTGTCATCTTCCGTGATGCTATTCTTTTGCTTTTTCTCCTTGTTTGAGGAGATATTAGTTCATCAGTTTTTGTGTCAAGCACTCTTGATTGTTCCAGGTGAATTTCTTTCTCCCTGTCCATGCGTACTGATTCTGTTTCCCGATAGTTTTGTTTATCTTTACTGGTTTTGCAGGCACCACTGGTAACACTCTTTTTAATATCTTTGGGATATCTTTTGCTCTGTCTTGGTTTGAAGGTACTCTCTTTGTTGAGGTGCAGTGTGCGCACATGGAGTCCTGAAAACAAAACATTTCTGGTGTTCAAATTTTACACAGCAAAATGGCAGTGTACTTTCATTGTTGAAAGAAGAGCAAATATGCAATGAACTTCCATAGAACAAAGAAGACAGTAGTAAAAATTCTAAGGTCACAATATATGTACTAAATGGATGGTTACAATAATAACAGCTAAACTCACATTAAATTGCCTGATGTAGCATTAACTCTTGCCAATTTAGCCAAATGCTAAAATTTACTTAAACTGGTTAAAAAATAGTTGATTTGATTTTTATTAATCCTAAACCATTTAGAGAAAAAAAAAGTGATGAAAAAGTGATTTGGATAAGTAAAAAAAAAAAAAAAAAAAAAAATGCTAACACTTCCCCTGATTGCACTTTAATATTCCACCATCTCACTTTTTGGTTGTTCATATTTTCAAATGACTTTGCTTTAGAATGGTTGTAACAAGGTAAACAAGACTGTCTCTTCTGGGATATTTTCTTCCTTTATTATTTATTATTATTGTTGTTGTTGTTATTATTATTTTTAGATTTATCACTTCTTCCCTAAATTGACTGGACATTTCGGAAGTAAAAATGAAAATGAGCATATGTAACATGAATTTTAAATATCATGGGGAGCTCAGTGAAGAAGCTCTTTCCCGACCCGTGCTCTCCAAGTCCATTTCTGGTGTGTGTGTGTGTGTGAGAGAGAGAGAGAGAGAGAGAGAGAGATATTAACCCAGTAGTGCACTTACCTAAATTTAGCAAATGCACAAATTGGTGTCCACATAACCCGCAGACATACGGTTTCTTCCAGGGATTTGCTGTCTGCATCCTGATTCATATAAACCAAAAGTTCCAATTAAATCTGACTTCACCCTGCAAAATTTTGTAAATTAATGTTGTTGCTTCTTATCTTTCAATCTCCAAAAGCAAAAGAGTGTCACAACCCAACTACACACCGATATAACATACATCTGGTTTATCCGATCAGTGGTTGACAACGACATTGTTTGAATTAATTTCTCTATTTTTTAAAAATATCATCTATTTATTTTTCCTTTTGGTTTTTTAAACAAGGCAGCAAAGCTGTNTTCGTGTTACTGTGCACGATGTCAAATCTATATTTGTAGTCTCGAGTTAAGTCACGGAAGATAAGCAGATCACGCGTATATCTGTCATTGATATGGATATGATAAATGTATGTGGATTAAAAGCTATCCTTTATCAGGGCCGGAACGACAGGCCTCCGATGCGAAGCCGACCATAGCCCCCTTACTGTGGGGTTCGGGTCCTGCTCAAGGACCCAGAAAATTTTTTGGTGTTTTGGAGAGCAAAGTGCCCTTTTGAACGGGTTAGAGCTATAATTTAGTTAATCAAAATTCTGATTTCAAGGGGGGGGAATATTGGTGCGATATATTTTTCAGAAAACGAGGAGGGGATCAGGACCCCCCTGACCCCACCTCAAAATCCGGTACTGCTTTACCGTTACGTACGTTACCAAATTTCGTGTAGATTTTTGTTGTTGTTGTTGACGTTTACCTATGTGATTGCGTGAGACGTCATACATGCGCAATTTTTGTTTTAAACTAGAGAGAATAAATAAGGATGATTATAAATATAGAAGAATTCGGTTACCACATCGTACATGTACACCTCACGATGCCATCGCCACCCAAACTCGTCATTTATAAGGTTACAGTCTTGTAAATGATTGGCATTATTTTATTCAAATACGGAATAGCACGTAAAAACAAAGTGTGTTTTGTAAATGATTCAGACCGAGTCAATATACTGAGGTATCTTTCAATTATAACAGATGGAGCTGTATTTAAAAATTCTGCCAGCTGTGACTGCCTGCAATACTGGGACTAAGGTACCCTTCCCACACCCTATCGTATTAACTGTGGATCGATCCATCTCCAAGGGAATTCTCACTAAATTGCTATCAATTAAGAGGCTTAGATGTCTGGCACGTGAAGTGAAGCAGCTAAATGATAATTACCCCCTAGCTGCTTCAGTAGGTACGACAGACGCATCTAAGCTGTTTAAGTTGATTGCAATTTAGCAAGAAACCCCTTGGAGATAGATCGATCCTGTTAGATTGATCTGGGTAAGGAAACCCAGTCTTAGGCTCCTTCACTGCGTAAGATGGGCCTCTATATCAGTCTGCACAGCTGTTTCTTCAAGGATTACAAAAGATGGATCTCCCTCAGTTGCTGACTCAACAGCCACCGTGTCTCCCTCTGCAGGTGTGCTTTCCACAGTGTACACCACCTCTGTGCTGCCATCTACAGTTGCATCAACACAACTTGCTGAGTCAGCAACAGTGTACACCTCAGTGCTGCCACCTATGGTATTGTCATCATCAGTGTAAGCCTCAGTGGCGACATCTAGAGTTGTGACAGCCACACCGCCAGGGGGCTGCTCTCCTATGAAAGTGGCTTCCAGGATTTTATGGACAAGTTTCATGTGTCTTTTCATGGAGTTTCTGTGAATTGTGGTGAAGTGGCAGAGGGCGCAGCTGTACACTGTGTTGCCATGGGCAGTCTTACTGTGTTGGTCGAGATTACTCTTGGTGGTGAAAGTTTTCAGGCACAATTCACATTCGTAGTTTCTTGTCCCTGCAAAAAAAAGAGGACAAAAACTTTTGTACATCAAATATTTAATGAAAATGGTGATGAAATAACACTTATTTTATTACTTCAAACAATTATTGTTAAAAGAAAATGTTGAGTGAGCCCTTTTCAAGATAAGTTTACTAATTAATACAGCACATATCAGCTTTTTTACTCTGATTAAGTGATTCTTTTGGTAACAACCACAATATTATAATTTCAGTCTGTATAAGTGTATTGGAACAGACTATATTAGTATTCTGCTCAATTTAAAAATATCTTACTGCGACTAAAAGCTTTAAAAGAGTAACACAAGCCACATAAACGATAATTGCGAATGCTAGCATGAGCCTTAGATTTGCGAGGACCTATGCCGAAATGAACAATAGGAGCCAAGAATTTAGTGCCCCAACGTAAAATTAGTAGACAAGCACACGTCGTCAGAGCTATCTGTGTGTTATAAAGTTGTGCTCATGGCTATTTATTTTATGTCCAGGTACTTAATTCGTACCCTGAGTGTCAGGGCACTATAAAGTTAGCTTATTAACTATACCTTTCCATGTGTTAACGTTACAGTGCTGATCTGGGTTATATATGAAATCAAGATCGAGCTGGCAATATCAAAATCTAGAACCTAGGGTATTAATACGTGGCTCGTGTTGTTAATAGGGGAATTCATGCTCAGAAATCTCAGGCTCAAGCTCGCAAATGCTCAATCCCTTTAGGAGGCCTGTTCCAGATGCATCCACTCACCGCTGTGGGTTTTCATATGAGTCCGGAGCTGCGCTGGATGGTGCCACGTTTTTGAGCAAATCTCACATTTTACTTTTCTCTCGGTAGCTAAAATAAGAGAGTTTAGTAATGAAATCTAGGGTTGGTGGTGGTAAAAAAAAAAAGTAAAGGTCGGGTTTATAGACTAATATTTGAATTAATGACATCAGCTGGTTTTACAATGGACTCTAAGAATCTGTTTGCCCAGTTAATGATCTTACTTCCCTGAGGCAATTAAACTTCTTGAGTTTATTTTTTCAAGACACAAAGAGATTTTAACCAATTAACAGTCTTAGTGAGAAAAACTTACATCAATGAAAACATAAAACATTTTTATACAGAGACATTTATCTTAATGGCAAAAAGGACAGGTATTCATTTAATATCTTAATAAAATTTTAATTAAAATTACTCGTTTTAAAGTGTAAGCCCTTTTATCATGTGATCCACTGTTAAAGACAGCATGCTTTCTAACATCACTTCATTGTGACTGTGAATTCATTAACTGTAACTTACTTCCATGCCTATATTTGATATGGTGTTGTAGAGCAGCCTTCACCTTGAAGCTTTTGTTACAGTCTGGGACAGAACACTGAAATGGCCGAACATCTGAAAAAAAAGTGGTATATATTTTATCAATCATGTATGAATTGACCAGATAGTTAGGAGAACCAACAACAAGACCAAAGCAATCTATTGTGAGTGCTGTCCTTTTTATCCCTTAAGACTCTCATTTAGGTTACTAGTCAAAGCCATATAAAGGCTTCAAATGTTTTCATTTTTTATTTACCAAGTTGTTATTTCAGCCAATGCAATGCATATTTATTGTTATATATACTATATGTTGGTTAAAAAACTTAAGCACAATAATAACTCCACCTTTTCAATGGGGGAAAATTGTGAATTTAACAAATACTGTATTTTTAAAGAAAAAATTTTTAAAGGTCAGAACATTCCTATTGGGTGGTTGCAACAAAATTAAAAAGCAGACTACTGTACAGTTCTATTCTACGCAGTAAAACTGCAAAAAATATTATATAGAAGTTTAATTTTTGTTATTATAGAATTATGCATCTGAAAGTTTGATAATTTTTGCCCATCGAAAAGATAAGATTCATTACCGTAAACCTGACCGTACCTGAATGCAGCTGTTGTACATGTTCCTTCCACCTGTGTCTGTTGCTGGCAACATAGCCGCACAAGTCACACACCAGGGGGAGCACCCTGTCAGCGCAGTTATTACCATATGCCTGGTGGTTTCGAAGAGCTTTCATGTGTGGGAAGACTCGCCCACAGCGTTCACAGATCTCACGGCATTTGTGCGACTTTATGCTCCTGGCTGTAAATAAAAAAATTAGTTTCTGGCACAAACTAAATTAAATCAATTTGTTCTATGCCAGAAGAGTAATCATGATATCAGATATGATATTTTGTAATTCTATTTCATAATGAAAACAATCATTCCCACTGTCTTGTATTTTCATTATTGCCAATCATTGTGTATAAGTTATAAGAAGAAAATAAATTAAAGGAATAGTAACTCTTCTTTTCGGCCAAAAAATGAATTTTCCTGGAGTAAACAACAATTTTCCCATACTTACCAATGGTTAATGAATCCATTTTTACATTCAAAGTTAGTCCCTGTTTTTTTTCTAAAAAGTTTGGTTTTTTGTTAAAATCTCTTAAGAGATTTTAACAGAGTATAGCCATCAATGGAGGTCACGTGGTCTAAAGACAAGCTCAGATATCAGAATAATAGCTATAACTGCCGTTTTTTGTGGTAAAACAGAATATATTATATTTCTATGAGTTATTCACAATGTTTTTATTGTGAAATGTAGATTTCATACGAAGAGCTATTATCCCTTTAATATATACAAAATGTCATAAAATACTTTACTATTATATTATAAAAGCAAATTCATATAATATATACCCGTGTAAGTCTTCTGACAAATATTACAGGTCACCATCGAACTCGTTAACACATTCTCTTTTTCTCCCTCCTCTGCAGAAGAGTCCACCTCCTTGAAAATGGTACTTTCCATTTCTTTCTGGATGAGGAAGCGTTTGCCGTTTGGCAGCCTCAAAAAGAACTGATCCGTCCCTCCTGAGTCAGAGCTGGACTCTGTGTGATGTTCTCCTCCATCCCCAGGGTGAAGAACACCGAGTCCCTGGGTTTGGACACTGGGATCCTCAGGGTGTGAAGGGGACGTGGCAGTTTCTTTCCCAGGATACAGTAAAACTGAGATCCCAGAATACTCTTCTTCAAATCTGTCTGGCGTTGTTGATGATTCAAAATCAGACACATCCTGATTATCATTCTTGTTTTGATGAGCAGTTTTCTTTTTTACATCCCTGGTTAAATGATGTCCAAGTCCATCCCTCTGTGTCATGTTCCGCGATGTGTAATGTTTGTCTTTCTGTGTCATCTTCCGTGATGCTATTCTTTTGCTTTTTCTCCTTGCTTGAGGAGATATTAGTTCATCAGTTTTTGTGTCAAGCACTCTTGATTGTTCCAGGTGAATTTCTTTCTCCCTGTCCATGCGTACTGATTCTGTTTCCCGATAGTTTTGTTTATCTTTACTGGTTTTGCAGGCACCACTGGTAACACTCTTTTTAATATCTTTGGGATATCTTTTGCTCTGTCTTGGTTTGAAGGTACTCTCTTTGTTGAGGTGCAGTGTGCGCACATGGAGTCCTGAAAACAAAACATTTCTGGTGTTCAAATTTTACACAGCAAAATGGCAGTGTACTTTCATTGTTGAAAGAAGAGCAAATATACAATGAACTTCCATAAAACAAAGAAGACAGAAGTAAAAATTCTAAGGTCACAATATATGTACTAAATGGATGGTTACAATAATAACAGCTAAACTCACATTAAATTGCCTGATGTAGCATTAACACTTGCCAATTTAGCCAAATGCTAAAATTTACTTAAACTGGTTAAAAAATACAGTTGATTTGACTTTTGTTAATCCTAAACCATTAGAGAAAAAAAATTATGAAAAAGTAGTGATTTGGATAAGTAAAAAAAAAAAAAAAAAAAAAAAAAAAAAAAAGCTAACAATTCCCCTTAATGCACTTTAATATTCCACCATCTCACTTTTTGTTTGTTTGGAGAAACTATCTCTGTAACTCTGAGAGCATAACGCAGATGGTACAATTCTTTGTGGGATGAAGGCTGTTGTTAATCACATATCTGCTACCAGTAGTACTATCCCCATTATGTTTTCAAATGACTTTGCTTTAGAATGGTTGTTACAAGGTAAACAAGACTGACTCTTCTGGGATATTTTCTTCCTTTATTATTATTATTATTATTGTTGTTGTTGTTGTTGTTGTTGTTGTTGTTATTATTTTTAGATTTATTTATTTTGGCCACTTCTACTCTGAATTGATTGGGCATTTCAGAAGTAAAAATGAAATTAAGCATATGTAACATGCAATATTAAATATCATGGGGAGCTCAGTGAAAAAAATCTTTCCCAACCTGTGCTCTCCAAGTACATTTCTATTTTCTGGTGAGAGAGAGAGAGAGAGATTAATCCAGTAGTGCACTTACCTAAATTTAGCAAATGCACAAATTGGTGTCCACATAACCCGCAGACATACGGTTTCTTCCATGGATTTGCTGTCTGCATCCTGATTCGTATAAACCAAAAGTTCCATGCAAATCTGACTTCTCACTGCAAAATTTTGTAATTAATGTTGTTGCTCCTTATGTTTCAATCTCCAAACGCAAAAGAGTGTCACAACCCAACTACACACCGATATAACATACATCTGGTTTATCCGATCAGTGGTTGACAACGACATTGTTTGAATTAATTTCTCTATTTTTTAAAAATACCATCTATTTATTTTTCCTTTTGGTTTTTTAAAAAAGCAACATGGAAATTGTGTAAGGACGTTCTAAAATAAATATCGGAAACATTGTTGCTTGAATAACTTAATGAATAATTTATTTTTTCATTCACTCAAGTGTGAATTTTTATGCTATTTTCAAATATACATTTTTTAAATATGCAAATTTTTCTTCAAGGGATAAAAACTGTTTGTTTTGCCATAAATGGATTTCCTGGGGTAAACCACAATTTTCTATACTTAAATCCATCTATGAAGGTCCATGTAGTTGGTTGGTAAGTACAGTACAGATTCTAGAATAATTGTGACATCTGCTGTTTTGGTGGCAAAATAGATTTTTTTTATCTACAAGTTCTTTACAATGTATTTATTCTGAATTATTGATCTCATATAAACATGTGCTTTTGTTTTTAAACAAAACAGCAGTACTTTAGCATTCTACAGCAATTTATTCATAACAAACTTCAATATATTTGTTCCACATGCTATAAATATTTTTCTCAAATACAATACACACACACACACATCATCATCCTGCAAATAACTTCATTCAGGATATGTACAGGCAGAAAAAGAAAAGAAATATTACAAATAAAATCTGCATAAATCAACCATTACAGCAGTTGTAGAACAGTTTTGGTTTAGTAAATCACATATCATTGTATTTGTTTTGTTTCAGTACATTGTCATGTAATATCGTAAACAGATATACTCGCAAACAATGGTGAACTAAGAGCCCCCCTCCTCCTCCCCCCAACACACACACTCTTCGTCTAGGGGATCTCACTCTGTCCTTCCCCCATCAAACAGAGTATACAGACAAAACCAAACAATCTTCCATCTGTATGATCTACTTATTCCTTTGCCTATTCTCTTAAATCAGCATTTGCTGATGGACGCTTTCTTTGTGCTCCCCCCCCCCCCCCAACATAACCCTGAATTCACCAATGGATACAGGGGATTCAGGAAGAAAACGCACACCCACCCACCTTCGTAATGGGGGAATCTGCCCCTCCACCCCATTTGTTACCAAATAATGGAAGAGGAGTGACTCCGAGACCCTCAGTATTGCAAAATGCCCCATATCTGACAAGATAAAACTAATATTTAAACAATCCCCTCCCCCTCCTATAATTTTTTTACTTTGTAATAATGTATATGCCAGATAAAGATAAACTGAAAAGTTGAACAAATATGTCTGTGACATACAAAGCACCTTGTATTTTTTTTTTACACCAAAAATGATGTTCTGGTGATAATTTCTTCACTATCTCTCTACACATTTCATTTTCCTAAATTTCAGTTACCATGCATGCCTGCTTTGTCCTTTTCAAATTTCAATTTCTATCTGTGCAAGTTGCAATGTAGAATGCCAAATACAAAATGAAGAGACTGGCACATCTCCATTCTAGAACAACAGCTAATCTAAAAGTACATTGTTGCTTATTTAAAATTTTCCTCAAAAACAGTTCTTTCATCAAATAATAATCAATTTATTTAGGAAAAAAAAAAGATTATGCACACCTGCAAGCATATTTATAGAGGCAGTACTTTATATTAAACGTAATACTTCCAACTATCATAAATTGCATTTCTACAAATTAAAATTCCTAAAACATGAACATGAAGGATGACAAAGTCTGGTTAAGAATTGAGTTATTTCTTATTTTCATATTCACATAAAGACCAATGCCTTATAAAATACCAAGCCCATGAAATAAGCATAGCTCTGAAAGTTTCATCACTTGACTTGTTTCTGTTTGGTTGACACTTCATTCTCAGAGCATTTTCCAAGACTAAGGTAAAATATGGTGTTAACACAAGACATAATAAAATTCTGATTTTAAGAAACTCCTCTGGTCTGTTATTTGCAAACGTTATCTTTAATGTTGTAATATTGTTTCTAATGCAGAGCAATGGCATTCTGCTTATAATATATATATATATATATATATATATATATATATATATATATATATATATAATTTTTCTGTTGAAAGTGACTCGATGGTAGATGATGTTGCTGTGACTCTATTTCTTCTGTGCATCAGCTATTTTCACTGGTATTATTTCTGATAATGTGTTCTGAAATATAAATTTAAAGTTTACTGCAAATGTACAGGTTTCAAAATTAAATGCCAGTGGCTGCTGGCTTCTCACTTTGGGATACCATTTCTGTAAGCTAAATAAATGTGCGTTTTTGGTCAAATCAAAACTTACGTAAACGTATTATGGGTTCGGCAAAATTTTAAATTGAAACACATTTTACATATTCCCATAGCCTATTATAATATGTTTTGCCTTTGTCAAAATTTTTCTATGCTATAACATAGTGTAATGTGGGTTGTTTTTGGGCCAGAACTCGATTCAGAAAATCTGGCAAATGACATTCCTGCTTCTAAATCCAGCCATACTCACTTGCAAGAGGAAGCCTGATAGGTTCTTTATCTGCTATTGTAACTTCATGCAGTTTTCTCTGAAATTTGTATCTGATATACAAATGTTTTTCCTCTCCCATGCATGGGTCATAAAAGCCAGGAATTTCACTCTAAAAATAATAATAATAATAACTTACTGTCATATCTATACTTATATAGGTAAATCCAATATGATCTGATGATAAAATAACTTAATCAAATAAAATAAAACAAAACAAAAAAAAAAAAAAATCAATTGTGCTCATTAAAAATATGTGTTTCTAATGGGTAAAAGTTCTGGTGCATGTGGAAGTTGTTTTTAGAGATGTAGTCGTGATGTTGATAAAATAGGTATAAACAAACTATTTGCCGGATGGCCAGGGTCACATCTTGGTACTCATTATCAATAGAGAAAGGAAATATAACTAAATATAACAAAAGAGTTAAATTTTCAATATGCTATGACTCTATCAGATATTCAGCTTTTTATCATAAATGTTTTCAATGATTCAGAAATATAAAAATAATAAAATTTGCTGAGTAAGAAAATGTCAAATCCTACACATTTTAACACTGCAGGATGTGGATAATTTCATTTTTTGTAATTTCAAAATTTAAACCTTACATATAGCGCTCAACTGTGAGAATTACCTTTGACTTTGTTTCTGGCAAAATGAGAGACGAGTTTTTCACCATGACCTGCAGCGGGATGTTAGCATCTATACACTGGCTTTCATTGAAGTCACTGCAATGGAATCCATTTTAGGATTAGCATAAAGGGTTGTTCTTTCTCTCTCTCTTTTTTTTGTTTTACACTAATANCTTTTAGAGATGTAGTCATGATGTTGATAAAATAGGTATAAACAAACTACTTGCTGGATGGCCAGGGTCACATCTTGGTACTCATTATCAATAGAGAAAGGAAATATAACTAAATATAACAAAAGAATTAAATTTTCAATATGCTATGACTCTATCAGATATTCAGCTTTTTATCATAAATGTTTTCAATGATTCAGAAATATAAAAATAATAAAATTTGCTGAGTAAGAAAATGTCAAATCCTACACATTTTAACACTGCAGGATGTGGATAATTTCATTTTTTGTAATTTCAAAATTTAAACCTTACATATAGCGCTCAACTGTGAGAATTACCTTTGACTTTGTTTCTGGCAAAATGAGAGACGAGTTTTTCACCATGACCTGCAGCGGGATGTTAGCATCTATACACTGGCTTTCATTGAAGTCACTGCAATGGAATCCATTTTAGGATTAGCATAAAGGGTTGTTCTTTCTCTCTCTCTTTTTTTTGTTTTACACTAATACTTAAAATATAAATCACTGAAAAGAAACTATATGAAAATGCCCCTTGCTCATTTTCATAAATCCTTAAAAAGAAACTCTTTGCAGGTAATATATGTTGTTGTACTTAGGTCATTTATAAATTTTATTTTCCAGTTTCAATTCATTGTGCAATATTACGTATTTGTAAAACAGTGCATTTTTTACAAGAGAAAACTACAATCTGTTAACTGTTTTCCAGTTCTAAATTTCAAAGATAAAGCCGCTGTCTGTTACCCAGAATCGGTGGAGATAATCTTCCCGTAGACAGCCCTCACTATGATCAGGCCACCCTTTCTTTCTTCTTCCTCACGTATCCTCTCAACTGTCTCCTTCATCAACTCCACCTGAAATAAATAAATAAATAAATAAATAACAAATAGATAAAAATAAATAATTAAAAAATTGAGAAAATACCATCTTTTATGTACACCTAATATCAACATCTACCTTCATAAAGATTGTCCAATTTTTTTTTCATATCATTTTCAATCTTTCAATTTGTCCAAATCTCATTTAAATCTTTCAGATCTAACACTTTTCTATTAACTAAAAATGGTTTTAATTAATTAATAACTATTGGAGTTTGGATCCTTACAGCACTCTGTGCCTGTCTTCTCTTCTCAGCAATTAAATCTGCATATTTTTCTTTTTTCTTGTCTGTGTCCCTGTAAGAACATTAAATATAATAATTATTATATTAAAAATGCAACATGAGAGAAAGAGGGAAAGAAAAAGGAATGGAGTATTACGTTTCACCATACTGATTCATAATAATTTCAAGAATGAATATTCTGAATACAGAGGAAGGCTACATTAAGGACATTAGCCATCACCAAAAAAAGACCACCAGCACCCAACTCTCTCATTAGGGCTCACAGATGAGTTCATAAATAGGTCACCTTGGCCTACTTTTTCATGTAAATCAGTAACCTTGACCCACATTTCAAGGTCAAAGCTTTCATGCCTAGTATCCATGCTTTGTGTATAATTTCTACTCACTCTTCCTTTTCCTTCTGTACAAATGGGTCCACTATCAATTTCTTCACCACAAAGTAAGTCACCAGGGGCACCACTGTGCCGTAGAAGATAGCTTTGGGAAGAATTTCATCAGACAGCTGGATGGGGAAGTGAAAGTCTTGGTTACCTCGGTGGAGTCTGTAAATAAATTAATTCAAATTATTCTCTGGTGAGTTTATTATATACTTATACGTAAATACAAACAACTGAATAAAAATTTAAAATATACAGATGTGCATTGATGATGATTGTGCTCCACTTTTATCATGGTGACTGACAAGTATGTTGTTAGTTATAAAATTATTATTTTTTTCCTAGATGGGACTTCCTAAATTCTAACATTGTGTCACATGTGCCACTTTATATTGTAATTTAATGTGCTATGTGTAAATAGGCCACTGTTTATATGCAACATATATTTGATATGACAGAGTGTAAGATGTGACAATGCGTCGTATGTGACGGTACGGTAGGCATGACAGTGTGTCAGACATGACAGTATGTTTGTGTTAAGTACGAGATGTCAGTTATTGGACATTGCCTTAAGAATGGCATTGTGTAACATTGCTTTCGTGCAAAGCCTTTCAGTCTACTCAATATCAGTAATAAATTTTAGATTAATAAATATCATTTTCATTAACGTTTCCCTTAATACTTACATTGTGTGTAAAACAACAGTGTGTTAGGTGTGACAGTGTGTTACGTGTGACTGTGTTAGATGTGACAGTGTGTTAGCTGTGAAGGAGAGTTTGATATGATATGATATGTATTGGACGTAACAGAAATCTCCTACCTGCAGGTGCCACTCTCTTCAAGTACACTCCCCAGGACAACATCACTCTATCTTTCCCAGTCTTACATTCTACGAGTTTCCGTATAATACTGGCCATCACAAACTTGAATGTCAGGTGGAACACAGTCACTGACAGTGCAAAGTGAAATAGCTGGAAAAAAGAGACATTCCACAGGTTATCAGAGCTTGACACAAAATACATTTAGGTTCTTGCATTATTGAAAACCTACTTGCCCCACTCCAGGGGCGGGAAGGCCTTTTGAAAATCTAATTTGCATCAGGCAAGTGATTAGTGGGCAAGTATATGACTTACATTCCAGTTGCTTAAATTAATGCAGAAATCATGTGCAGCAGGCAAGTAACACCAACAGGCACCTGTAGGTCTAGCACGAAAATTCATGCATTAGCACTCCTATTAACAATTCTAATATGCACATGTCTGTGACAGCACATATCAGAATCGCCAATAGGAGTGCAAACGCATGAATTTTTGCGCTACTGTAGGTCAAACCCTGCATTATTATTATTATTATTACATTACTGTTATCAAACATGTTACAATAATTGTGAGGGCAACACATATTTTTTTCTTTTCTTTATATATTGCCTATTTGAGCAGTTACAATTCACAATGACAGACTTGCTGAAACTGTCGGTCCGATCGGTCATGACCGGGAAAATTTTTCTGGACTGGTAAAAAATTGGACTTGGTTGGTCCAAAGGACCGACAAGAGTTTTAAGAACCACAATTTTGAATTTACATTCATTATTTGACATATTTCACCAATAAAATTATATAAAACCCAAAGCATTTTTCCCCTCCATTTAAAACCTATCACATCCACAAACAAAGTAAGCTACCCTAATCGTACTGGTAGTATCAGTCTCGACAAATAGGGTGATTTTTGGTCCAACAAAAATCCATTTGGTCCAGCAAATTTTTCATTACTGCCAGTCCAAATGTCCAGCCATTCTGAAAAGTTTTCAGCATGTCTGCAATGAGGATGCCTCAATACTAGAACATGACTGGTACAAAGTACTGGTACATCCACCTGCGCTTTAGGTGTGTCTGATGAAACCTTACACATCTGCTACTTACTAATTACCTGGGGAACTAGCCAGGTAGCAAAGGAAGATCTTGTTAATAAAATCGAGACACATAGCAGCAAGCTCTGGCTTTTATTTATTATTAGTATTATTATTATTATTAATATTATTATTATTATTATTATTATGAAACAAGCTCTGGCTTTTATTTTATATATTTTTGTAGCGANACAACTGCAACAAAACTCACTTGATTTTGAGCATAACTCCAGATGGCACTCCTACAGACACATATGCTTCCAACACACTGTATTTGCTGATCTTCTTGGCTATGCCATACTCAAATATACTGGAGTAAACACCTAGCCTGAAATATACCATACTGCATTTACAATATATTTGCTAATCTTCTTGGGTTTCATTATACTGAAATATGCACCTAAGCTGAAGCATATCATACAACATATACAGTTTATTTGCTACTCTTCTCAGCTTTCAAATTTACTCAAATTTACTGGAGTATACACCCATCCTGCAATAAACTATGCACATATACACTATACTTGCTAATTTTTTGGCTGTCAACTATACTCATCTATACTAGACTATACACCTAACCTGAAATATACCAAATTTCATTCAACATACACATTACACTTGCTAATTTTCTTTGGCAAACTTTAATTATCTGGAATAATAATTTAATGAAATAGCAATGAAAATAAACAGAGTAAATACAAAACAGCTAAATAATAAAAATAAATCTATACATAAATAAAAAGTAAAATTTTAGAATTAAACCATGACCTAAACTTAAAAAAATTTGAATAAATTAATATATAAATAAATACATAAATTCCTGATATCTTGACTCCTCCAGTGAATCACAATGCAAAAGTATATAAAATATAGAATGGTTCTAAAACTGGTTTAATGCCACACCCACCTTGCTACTACTTTGAATTTGGCATCATCTTCCAGGAATTTCCTAACATATACACAGGCTATATTGGTGTTTGACATGCTTAGCTGAAGATGGATAAAATATAATTATAAATAATAATAATTATTATCTTTATTATCATAATCATCTTTAACTAACTTATTTGTAAAATATAAATGATTATAAAACCCCTGGAAGTTGCAAACAAATAAAAAGACAACAGAAAATATTTTGCAAAAATGAAGAAAAAAATATAACAGTAATCAAATAATAAGTCTTATTTAAGTTACTGTGACAGTCATTTTTAATTAGTATGTAAGTCTGAAGTTTAGATGCAACATGCATACAAAAATATAAATTTTGAAAAAAAAAGAAAAAAAAATGAGACTGGCCCTAAAAGACACTAGAACTCTGCCAAATATTACATCATACAGAAAATAAGATTATTTATACCTGTAGAGAGAATTCTAGATGGTTATTAGGGTTTTGCCATACAAGCTCAGTTTTCATCACAGACAAATGCCGCCTCCATGGTCTGATATTTAAATGTATTCTGCCAACCAGTGACCTGTCCAGCTGATAGGACAACACTGAAAAATAAATATTTCAAATAAAAAGAAAATCTTAAAATAAAATGTGTCTGTTGGCAAAAAATAAATATTTCAAATAAAAAGTAAATCTTTAATTCTTAAAAGAAACAGTGTCTGGTGGCAAAAAAATAAATAATTCAAATAAAAAGTAAATCTCAAAAGAAACAGTATCTGTGGCCATCAATTTCTCTGGCAGCCAATATTTTACCCATACTCACAAGTCTGGTTCACAAATCAAGTTCTAGTTCAAAATCTAGTACTTTTTAACACTAGGTGTCTTTTTGATATAGCCAACTAAATAGTAGGTCTAACAGTAGTAGACTATAATATTATCCTAATCCTATTCCAAAGAGTTTGTCAGGCCTGAAAAGGTGTGATAGTATCTCTGACATATGCTAGCACTATAAAACTTAAAGTGAACTCTACAAAGTCAGACTTACTCGAGTTTGTACTGAAATCTAACCCCCTTGGAAGAACTCGAACTATTCCTGATGCTGTCATGTGACTGAAATGAAAACCAATCAAAATGATGAAAATGATAAATTCAAAATGAGCGTTTTCCAAAAATTGATTCATCAAACAATATCAAATTGAGAATCTAATTTTTCCCTTGTCCCTTTTTTTTTTTCTATTTAATTAGAATGTTTCAAATTGGGAATTAGAGGTTACAGCGAAACCTGTAGCCTTATTCCCTGTCTTGTGCGCCACTAAAATACAAGATCAGGGGCTGATTGAGGCTGTCTTCTGGGTCTTCCAGAAGACGGTCAGACTTTCAACTTTACATTAGCGGGTATTTAATTTTTTTCAAAAGATGATCAAAAAGGAGGATAGATCAACAAAGATAATTTGGAAGACTGTCAGAAAATATCTCTGGATCCGTCCCTAAAGATGCCTGTGTTAGGGCCACTCTCCCCTCAGAGGGGCGAGTATAATTTCACAATGATCTGACTGGTAAACAAGCGGATGGATATAACCTTACTTACAGCTCTATTGATGGGGATACTGGATGGGTTTACTGGAGTGTGGGAGTTGAAGAGATCAGAGGTAGGTTAAAAATTTGAGAGCTCCCGCACCGCGTCGAGTGTGAAAACTGGTCCTCATTACGCACTTATATAGACCTTTGCCAACACAGCCAGTATTTATCAGAATTGTCAACAGGAATGGATTTCAGGCTACCCTAACCTGTGCTTTGTACTCACCATCGTGTGGTCAGTGTTCTGAAGTGGGTCAGGGAGAAAGCAGAGGGCTGAGGACTTCCTACAGCTAACTGGCACTAGAACAGAGGCAACAAACATTATTAAGGTATAAAGGTACTAATCCTGACAGAGCCAATATAATCTTCTTGTCTTACCCAACAAAATGTATTTAATGATTTATCTCGTAAGGTTTATTTGGTCCTTACCACATTAGTAAAAATAAACAGATAAAACATAAATAAGTGAAACATATAAAAGATTATATTTACACTATCAAAATAACATTTAGTGTAAATGTATAACAATAACAAAAATAACAATCCTCATTTTTTGATAAAATTCAATAGGCTGATTTTTAACTTTCTAACGTTTTTGAGTTTCCAGTTTCATTTTTATTATTATTCCATAAAAGTACAGGGCTCCAAAGAGGCCCATTGATAAGAAAACTTCTTTGTGTTTGCCACATGGCACAATGTACAACACACAATATGACACCTAACACACTGTTACACCAAACACACTGTCACATCTAACACACTGTCACATCTAACATACATTCACCCTGACACAGTGCCAAACGTAACAAAGTAACCCTAACACACTGTCACATGGTCAGGTGAATATTTTGCGCCTGGGCTTGCTGCTACGTCAATCCCCTTACCTGCCACCATCCATGTATTCCTGTAAGTCTTCGCCAGAGAACATTGACGGAGCCATTTCCGTAGCCATTTTCTACTCCCAGCATACCCTGCAGCTCTACGGTATTATTGTGTGTGATGGGTGCCTCGACAGACTGCATAATGGACATAGACTTGATATCAATTTTGGGCAGTAATCTGGAAACAATAACTTTATATGAAGAAGAATGAAGATTAAATAAAAAAAGGAGAATGTGGTGGAACATGGTCTCTCGCTTAAATGAAATTTTTTTTGAAAGCAACTGGAACATTCAGCTTATTATTTACTAAGCATTTATTCTATATAGCCATATAAACCTCACTACTCCCCAAAATCTAAAATAACACTCAGTTAAGCAATAATGACATTCAATTATTTTAGATGGGTAATTGTGATTGTGTAGTTTTACTGTGTGTTTGTGCATCAAGTACGAGAATATTTGTTAGATAAGGAAATGGAGAAAACATACTTACGTCTCGTCAGGATCCACACTGTAACCTTCAAATATGTTGGTTGCATCTATATGTATCCTCAGGGATCCCTAAAAAAACATAGTCCAAGCAGTCTGAGAAGTGAGCATCATTCTTTCTTATATCACATTTTAATGAGGCAAATGAAAAAACATTTATTTTTTATTCTATTTGCCACATGTAAATTTGAGAAGCAATGCATATGATATGAAATGAAATAAGGTCAATGACCTTAGGGCTAACACTGCACTGAATGAACTCTGACCTTGACCTTGGCATAAATTCTGACCTTCACCTTTCAATGGGTTCTTACTGCTTTTTATGAATAATGACCCTCTCTTTACTATGCATCCTGACCATGACCTAAGTATAAAACTCGACTTTGACCTACCTTTGGGTTCACATTGTTCTGCATGAAACCTGACCTTGACATTGACACAAATATTGACCTTGACCTACCTTTGGGTTGACACTGTTCTGCATGCGCCTCTCCTCCTCCAGCTGCAGCAGTCTTTGGTACTCTTCACGGATCTCCTGCGGAGTCCGGCTACGCAGCACGACCTGGAGTGATAAATGTTACATTGTTACAGAGTACATCTAACACAATCTCACTAAACACAGCACTGTCTTCACTGTACAGTTACATTTGCCGTCTATTCATGATCATGTAAATGAGCTTTTTTTGTTCATAGCAGTGTGACATATTAGGGATTATGCGGTACTTTACAACCCCCATCCCTGCAACCTTTTTTTACAAATCAAAGTTCCATGCTTCGTACCCTAGCAAAGATCAGATGAGTAATCGATCCAGTCAAAAATAAATACCCCACCTCTTTGCCATATGTCTCTAGCCCTTTCACTCCCAGTGTATCATAGACGGCTCTCTTGTGTGGGTCACTGAGCACTGCAAATAAATAAATAAATAAATAAATAAATAAATAAATAAATAAATAAATAAATAAATAAATAAATATTTACTCATACTTATGAACTAGTACTATCATGTTAAACAGCTCGAGGGTGTGTTACGTGAAGAGACATATAATATGTCTGTCTGCAATGCCAAGAACCTGACTTAAAGTTAAGGTCAATTTTTGGCCTATCATTACTTTTAGAAACCAGACCTCTTCTGGCATAAGTCTGATATTGTGGCTAGTAACAGAACAAATTAATAAATACCACAAATTGACTTAAATTTCACTGGCACTTGATGCTGAGCCGGTGCTAGCATTGGTATGCTGACACACCTTCATATATTTCCTGTAGTTTATTGAAGAGTTCTAGGGCGCTGGCCTTAGCATCTTTGTCTGCATGCTTGTCAGGATGGAACAGTTTACTCAGGCGACGGAAACTGTTGCTGATCTGTTCTGGGGTGGCCTGAAACATTGAAATTATACACATAAACTCATATACTAATACTGCTTTTCTTCAAAGGTGACCTGGAACAGTGTTATTACATATAAGAACTTAGAAGTCATATGCTGTATTCTTTCATCAGCCTGTTCCTGGTTAAACTGCCAAAGTAGGTAAAAATCCATCCAAAACTCTAAAACTAAAACTGAACAATGAAATTATAGCAATTTAATATTCATATACTGCATTCCTTTATGAAACTTTTCAAAATGGTTTCAAAGTCACACAAGTAAAATCACAGATTTGATTAACAGTTTTGGTAAAGATATACCTTGATGATAAAAGTTAGTTGAAGTTCCCAGTGATATATATCCCTCTCACTCATTTATTTATTAAATTATTATTTTCATCATCTTATTAAAATATTAAATCTTGTGTGCACTGTATAACTTAACAAATACAAATGCCCATCTAGTCAACAGATTTCAATATTATGCACTATGAACAGATTCTAAAGAGAACTGTACTTAAGTTGAACATCACACAATGGCATGTGGTGGATTTTTAAATGACCAAATAAACAAAATGTTTGGTTCATACATCCCAAAGAGGATGCTTATACTGCGAACTTAGTAGAAAATTGTATTCAAATGTGGGATATTAGAGTTTTATGTAAACCTTGGAGTTCTGTTGAAACCAAAAATCACTGTAATGTTGATTATGATATACAGAAGGTAAAATGTAAACAAAATTAGTCCAATCTATTACCTCCTGACTTTAAAGATTCATATGAAGTCACCTTTTTGCCAAAAATCTGATCAAATGCCACCATATATTTTCAAAATTTACACTAAAGAATCTATAACTTAAATGTTTCAAACCACTCAGAAAAGATAAGCACCTCAGAGAGCCCCCACATAATTTTCCTTTCCATTCAAAGTTCGACAAATGACAACGTCCCAAAAGTCCGACATACGTGAGCGTTTCCCATTTCTGAACACATAGTCAACATATGATCAAAGAAACAGATGCGAAATACATACGCTACACTTTACAAAGTGCACAGAATAGGTGTACATACAAAAAAGAAAGTCTTCGGTTCATTTAGACCAAAAGTTCGCAAGCAAGCCTTTTGCCATCAGTAAACATAGCTTTGTTTTCATAAAGCACGTTGGACTGGGGTTCACGGGTTTACGCTAACGAAATACTGGGTGCTTATTACAATAGCACTTAAACGAGCTATGCGAACGCTGGCAGTATTCAAAATAAATATCTATATTAAATTAAATAGTGCTCTAAACAGAAATGGTGTTTGGGGCAGTTTACCTCTCGGTCAACATTCAAAAATGCATAATAATCCTCCGATTCCAAAAATTCGAAATCGTCTATGGACGCCGCCATTTTCTTCTTGTCGGTGCATTGTGGGAAGACTTCCGTTGATGCGCACGCCTAATCAGTGTTTTGGGAAGCAAAGAAAATTTTTCGATGCTCTGAAGATGAGGTAGGTGTTTCCTGTGTTTATTCGACCTTAAACTGCGACGAGTTTTGTGATTTTGGGATATATGTTTCTAGGTACATAGCATGCATGGTCCACGTCGTTTGATTTCGCTTTGCTGTGCCAGAAATGTCAATTTTGAGGCCCAAAAACGCCGGTTCGCCTCGCCTACACAAGCAAAAGAGTTCCAAAAACTGGTCCTAGGTATTTTATCATTATGCGCAGTAATAGTGCCGGGGGCGTGAGTGTTTTGTATTTTACATTTCCTGTCGCCGTAACAGCCATTCAACACTTTGATGTATAACATTAGTCATTTATTTTTATCTGGCTGTACTTTTAGCTGTGGGAACAGGTTACACTGCCTGCACGTCTGAACTCTTGACTACGGAAACCTTTAGCTTGGCCTTATGGCTTGTTTTATGATAAATGATATCGATAAGGACTGAAAGTGTATACAAAAGGCATCACTCCCTCACGAAATCAGTGCTCTGACTCCTACGACTCTAGCACTATGATTAGGTTATGGACTAGGAAAAATTGTCTGACGCCATGACCATGACACAACGGGGGAGGGGAGGGGTGGGAAGTTGGGGGGGGGGGGGCATTTTGATGGGACGTGGAGAAATAAGTGAGGTGCATTTATTACAGGTATTTTCCTTACATTTTAAGTGATTGAAGGATGCTTTTATTTATTATTACTATTTTTTTTTTGGGGGGGGGGTTAAGAATAATTAAGTCTGTCAGATACTAAATATAAAGGTGGGAGACCCCGTTCCCTTCAGGCAAAATGTTTGATGAAATAGGCCCTATTGCAAGAGATATATATTGAAAAAAAGCAGTGTTTGTAAGGGAAGCAAGCAGAGTTGTACTTATGATATTGTTCATAACATCCACATCTCCATTAAAATTATGGTATTCATAATATATATCATTCTAAGAATGAAGTGGTTACTCATTTTAAATAGGCATACATATATTTGATGATCTTATATGGCACACCATTATTGACAAGCTTGTATATAAGGCTTAGCAAAGACTTAACTGCATATGGCATTTGATGTCACTTTTTGTGTCAGTCAAGAAGAGCTAGTAAAATATTACCCTGTGGCGATTGACAGCATATTGACACTCTATTTCACTGTCTGTTATGGTAGCTCAGCAGAATCGCCTCAACCGCGTAGTGAAAACTGCCAGTTGCATTGTAAGGAGGGAATTTCCATCAATGGAAAGTTTGTGTGAGAGACGAGTGCTCAAGAAAGTTAGGTCAATCATACCTAGCGATACCCAGCGAACGGCTTGTTTCTACCTATGTCATCATTGCGACTTTGGTCACTAAAGGAAACAACTTCCACAAGAACCAAAAGTCCTTTTTATCCATCAGCAACAAGTATTTTTAATGAGCACAGTTTATTTAATTTTATTTTAAAAGATTATCGACATATCATATTAATTTTCATTTATACCTTACTGTAGAAACACGACAGTAAATTAATTATTATACAAGCATTGCTGAAAGGTGAAATCTCACCCTTAGTTGCCCTGTACATATAGCCATACATACCTGATGGTTACAGGTGATAGCATAATGGGATTTTCATTGTCTTAAATCTTCAGATTAACTATTTTGATAGCCATTACAGTTGCAAAATGTCAAGTTGCACATTTAAAAGAAATGAAATTGTTGGCCTGTGCTTTTCCATGACTTGTATTTTTTAACATGTCATAAATATGCAAGCAATTTGCATACATGTCCATTTAGTTTACAAGTATTAGTATATAATTCTTGCCTGTCTTTTATATAGCAATGAAAAAAAAAAGACATGGGAAATTTCACTGATTTTCCCCTAAGATATACCCTGTCCAAAACTGTCAACAGAAAATCACTACTTAGAAACCTGTACATAATTTTTTCTTTTTCCATTAGGGCATTTGTTCACCTGTTTTTGTTTCTATAGAATGACTCAATAATTAGGAGCATAGAACTAAAAATATAATTAGAAGCTTAGAATTAAAAATGTTTTAGCAAAACTTAATCAAACGGTTTTGCATTCATTGTGTGTCTCATTGCTGAATGAAGAAAGGGGATTCAGAAGTCTTGGAGACACCTTTATCTGGAGTTTTTGAATTTGAGATGTAAAAGAGTAAATAAGAATTAAGAGTTATAAAGAATTAAAAGAAATTTTTTTACTGTAATTATTTTTCTTTTGCCAAAATACTTTATACTGTCTTTACAAAGATATTTTGCATTGCTAGCCTCTATTCTTAAACTGTTCACTTTATCATATATTATGTGGTGCAGTCTTTTATCAGGCACTAGTATGCAAGTGATTTATTCCCAGGGATTGTAATGTTGATTCCATTACCTCTTGTGGATATCATTTCTCTTTTTGTTAAAAGTCACAGGTGCCAGAGTTGCATCATATCTTCTACCTCCACATTTGTTAAAAGGTGTAACTGAATATCTAGGTAAAAAGCTCTTTTGCAGTTATGGTAATTGTTTCCATGTATTTGTATGGAATCTTTTATGTACACCTTTTTGTTGTTTTTAACTCACTTATGTGTTCACTTTGGATAGCATTTTGATTTTGTTACCCCTTGCAAAAACTACAGGTAAAAAGTATGGAATAGATTTCATGTGATTTTTTGCAGAAAATGAAAAACAACTTCAGGTTTCTTGTCCATGTTTATGAACTAAATTTTATTCAGGGTGAAGGAGAAGTTGATTTCTTCACTGCTTGTGGAAAGCATTTTAAAATGTAGTCATTTCTCACTGAATCAAAAAGTATTTCATTTAGCAATGTTTCTTCCTGAAATAATTTCGATTGCACTAGTAATTGCTAAAATGATATGATTATGAACTTTTTCTTATTAAAATAGCAAGTTTTTTTTTCTGAGCCAGAAATATATTTCTTTACTTTATTTGTTTATTTTGTGAATAATATAAAGGATGGTTTGGCAATAAGCAAAGATCTTGAATCTTAAAAATAATATTAATTTTTACATAAACATAATTTGTGCATTTTATTTTAGATAATTTTTTTTCTACACAGGTAACATGTAAGATTTTCATGCCAAAATATTAAGAGAACACCTTTTTACACCATAGCATTTGCTCCTCATTATTGTACCTCTTTTTAAAGAAAAAAAAAAGATTCAAATGAATTCAAACATCTACAGCTTATCTTAGCTACCACAAACTAATTGGTGGAAATGGAAAATTGGTAAAGAAAAATATGGGAAAAAGATGTTATTGCAGGGAAATATATTTTATATTGTTCCATTGTATAGTTTTGGTTGCTGCTAAAACAAACCTGCGTCTTCTCCAGCTATGAATTAACTTATAATAAAAACCCAGAGTAATAAAGAAAGAATGAATTGGATTTCAATTGATTTAGATGAATTATTAAATAAATACACAAATAATGATAAATTACTAGTAGATAAACAAACCACTAACACCAGGAAATAAATGTGCTAAAAGAATCCATTATTGATTTGCCTGAGACAGACTTTACGAAAGGCGTCGGACCGTCGGACATGCCTGGCAAATTTCGTCTTGGTCCGATAAAAAATCCTGTATCGTCGGACCTTATGTCCGGCGAGTTTTCAAACTGACTGGAAATGTGTAAATATAAGGAATACGTTGTTGTTTCTTTTCTGGACGATATATTTTACTTCATTCGAAAAGAGAGACGGGGTGAAAATCTCGGGGAGTTCCCAGCTAATTATACATAATTTATTAACCTCAGTTTCACTCACAAATACTATTTTGTGACTGGCTGAGGTTGGGGGATTTCTGGATGATGTAATGTACAGTCTCGTTTTCGTTTTTGTAATACCCCTAAAAATGGCCGCAACACATGTGCTCGTTCTATTTGCGTTTTTACAGACTTGATCCTCTGTTTCTTCATTATCAGTCATACACTGTACTCATGGATAAGCCTTTTGTTTAGAAAATGACTTTGTTGAACTTTAAACACTTCGTTGGTGCAAAGCGTGGCAAAAATGAAAACGAAGTGAGGAAGAGAAACGGAAGTTTACTAAAATTGGAAAGAAGGTAGGCCCTGGCGGACTTATGATCTGTAGGAGAGGAAAATAGTGTGAGCCAAGTGTCAGGAGTACTAAAGTTATCATTTTGATCAATAGCAACATAAATGTTACAGCTTTATTACGGGTTCTTAAATTATGGAACACATGTACATTTTTGCATGTACCGTTCACCACGAGTTGGAGAAAGTGCACATGAACTTGAGAAAAGCTCACAGTTTGAGTTTCTTTTTATAAAAAAAGAAATAAAGTGAAGAAGGGACTTAGACTCGGGCTGGACAGTCCCTGTCAAAGCTTCAATTGGATGAAAGAGACCGCCTTACTGTGCTGTTTCAAAATGCATATGTTATTGCCAAAAACAACGTGTGAAATGGTTATCTGATTAACGGACGTTTTTATGGACATACATTTGATATTACTAGCTACACATTCTTCATACTTGTATTGTTTTTAGTCCTTGTGTCATTCCTCAATGTCTTTTCCATTAAATAAAAAAACTTGTTATGCAAGTAATTTTTTGTCTATTTTTTTTTTCTTTCTGATTTTACTTTTTTCCAAATAAATATATATCAAAAATTTAATATTTGATTTAATGTCAATTATTTAAAACGTTAGAAAATACACATGAAAACATGTGTAATGGTTCATATTTCTATTTTTTACTTCGGTCTGACAGATTTTGTTTCGGTCTGACAGAATTTTCAAGCTTGGCAGACCGAATGTCTGACAGATTTTTTGGCCTTTCGTAAAGTCTGCTGAGATGTGAATATTTGTACATTTGAACAGGAAAAGAGATATATATATATATATATATATATATATATATATATATATATATATATATATATATATGGTAAATGACTCGATCTTATCAATGGGCAAAATTTATCAAACTTTAAGATACCTAAAATAGTTACAAAATTATATATCTTAATAGTATTTGTGGTGTTTTAACTGTG